GTAAGCTGCTCTTATAGTCATTTTCTACTTGATCAGGATTCTTCAAACATTATGCAGTGTTAGTTGTGCAGCAGCAATTGCTTTAGATTTGGCTGGTATGAACTGGGTATAGTGGTGGTTTTCTGGATGCTTGAGCACAAAAATTAAGTTTTCCCAAACAGTCATGGAGAATTTTCTACTGTCAAGCTCAAAGCATTTTTGGCAGCAGTAATACACAGATGAACCATTTGATGTTGTGTAATTTTATATTAAATCATACATGTAATCCACAACCCAAGAACTTTTGTATTATAATTCAGTCTGATTCAGTTGCCTTGAAAGGCCAAAAACTGCTGGACCACAAATAGTCTGTCATTGATACAGAGCTAATGCCTATGTGAATCCTGTTGCAAAATACACAAAAACCATCAAGTACAAATCAAATCAAATTCAATTGGGAGCAGAGCAGAACATCATTCAAAAGATGCAACCACTCAGCAAAACAAAGAACCATTGTGAAATATCTTAAGTTACTTCCTATACAATCCAGGGCCGGATTAAGGTGGGTGCTATTGATACTGCAGCATTATAGGCCCACCAGGCAAATAGGCCCATTGAGAACTTGAATTTTTTTTTTAATTCCCCAGCTTGGGGAATTTAACATTTAAAATTCCCAAGCTAGGGAACTAAAACTTTTTGAAATTATGAAAATTCAGAGAAGCAGAAAAGATGCAAGAGTGTTCATGATTTTAAAAATCAGGAAACAATAAATAAATTCCAACACACTGCACATATAAAAATCTTTGAAGAGGAAACCAGATTAAGGACATAAAAATCAGTTCAGAGCACACAATCATTCTTGCATTAAAAAAAGGAAATCAAGATCAATGGCCAGAAACAGGAAGATGCATGGCCAAGGAATCATGGGCAGGAGAAAATTCAAACAGAGATTTCAATTCCACTCACGCCACCCATGGGGCTACAAAAGGGTCTTTTGTAATTCCTAAGAATTGGAAGTTTCTGGAAAAGAATGGTCCCTCATTTCTAAAATACCCTTTTACTCCCAGCACAATGTCAGGTGTCTTAAGCCACGACTTGAGGAATAAGCTGTGGTATTCTAAAATATCATTATAAAATATTCAACTTTTTGCCAACTTGGGCCTGAATTGGTTAAAAAATCCAGTTTTTTTTTCAATTTACCATGCTTCTGGGGACAATATTTTGTGAAAATATCCTACACTTTGGTACACAAATAATGGATATTGAAGTTTCTTGAAAATTTTCATAAACCTGCCCACATTAATGCATATGCATTCAGTCTGAGAAGTAATTATTGTTCATCAATGTCCATTTGGGTCTCACTTGTACACTATGAAGATAACTCATGTGTTTACTGGCAAGTTGATGCATATGATGAGAATGTGAAACAAATTGGCTGATAAACCATGCAAGTCAAGTTCAGCATAAAAATATTTTACAGGAAAGATTTCATGTGACCTCATGGTCTCCATTTGAAAATCTTGAAAATGTGCATAAAATTCACAGAATTAAAATATGCGCCCTTTTTGTGGTTGAAACACTTTTCAAGTCCCGCAATAAAAAAATTATATAAAGCCATCACATTTTTCTTGGTTTCATCAGATGTGGTCCTTTTAAATTTCCTTCACCATGCAGCGGAAAGAATTTTTAGTTTCAGTCGCCGCCGCTAGATGGTACGTATGCATCATAGAACTATCTCAAGAGGCTTCATCATGAACAATCGAGTATATACAAATTATTTCTGTCAACAAACAATTTATTTGAAAGCGGCTATATCATGAAGAGTGTGTTTGCAAATCTTTCACACAGGGATGGAAGTCAAGTCTGGATTACTGAGACAATCGCAGGCTCATGATTATTCTATCTCAGTATTCAAGCATGTTTCAAGAAAAAAAAAGAATTGCATTTCCATTTTCGGTTCCTTATCTCCATGCATCCCAATTGGAACACCAGCAAAAGATAAGGCATTCTTCCGGCGTATATATCGACGCAAAGGCAAACGTCGACGTTTCGGATCCAGTTTCTATACATACTTCTACACACACTGCCTCCAAAATCAAAAGTGTATCATGTCGCAGTTGAAAACGTTTCCTCTGGCAGTTTTGATTTGTTGCTTGTGTACTATAGTTTTCGTTCTTCACTATGCGGAATGGAGACCCACGATTATCAAGACCTACATTTGCGACTGGATGCCATCGTCAGATGAGCAGCAGCAGCCGGGTTCTACCGCCCGGGTTCCGGATTACCTGAAAATCCCGGGGTTCAATAAGACGTTCGGAGAAGATTCTGAAGAAGACGAAAGGCTGTTGAAGCATTTGCGGAACACGGTTTTGTGGCCGCCGTCTTCCAAGCCGTACAATTTATTGCGGAAAAATGTGCAAGAGAATTCGGAAGGCAGTTTCATCACGAAGCACGTTATTCCCAAGTACTTCCCAACGGTGAGCTTCGGTCACTTTTTTTTAGATAAAATAAAAAAATATTTAGCTGTACGAAGATATAGACATTTCATGGACCAGTTTTACCAATTTTTTTTTTAATTTTCTGTCGACTCTTCTGAACGCGGAAGACGTAATCGATGATCTTCACGTGAAACTTCATTGAAAAAGCGGGATTTTAATTTTTGACGCACAGAAAACTACAAAAAAAAAGACAGGTGTGTGGCGGAATAATTCGGTACATTATTGTACCGTCCTCCGATTGTGGGTACCGCAAACACCTGCAATAATAAATGTCGATTAGTTTCAGGAATCCACAGGAACATTCCAGAACATTCTACTGGAGAGATTTTTTAATTTTCTGTCGACTCTTCTGAACGCGGAAGACGTAATCGATGATCTTCACGTGAAACTTCATTGAAAAAGCGGGATTTTAATTTTTGACGCACAGAAAACTACAAAAAAAAAGACAGGTGGACTCTCCAGTCTACATATAGAACTTTAAAGGAAGATAAAACATTTGTTGTGAAAAGAATTTTGTGGTCGAGAACCTCTATATTATGAAGAGAAAATGGGTCAACAAAATTTCGTTATACAGAAAAAAATCTTTGTAGACAAGTTCGTTGTAGAGGGGACACCTGAATATTTTCTTTTTCCATTAATGCGTATGTTTCCACACGAACAAATATTGCTAACCCGGTTGGAAAAAACCAAAATAAATATAAAATATAAGATATAAAATATAAATATATAGATGAAAAATATGTAAGTCTAAAAAAATTAATCATAAAATAACTTTTTCGTGGTTTTTCCCAAACCGAAAATGACACTTCTGCAGTATAAGAGCAATTTCAAAAATTAATAGCATCCATGCGGATGAAATTAAAATGTTATTCAACTGAGAAAAATAATGCTGAAATTCACTTAGGTCGCTGGAATTAGAAGAGAAGTGTTTCGATATCTGAATGGGTTTTTTTTTTCAAAACTCAGAAATTAATATATATATTTTTTGTTTTATCCATCACTTCGGAGCATAAATTGTATACTTTGATAATCTATAGCCGAATATAAGAGGTCAAGTCATGAAACATAAGTTGAATCTTCCTGAATTTCATGAAATTTCAAGTTGTAACATATAGAAAGTAACTTTATTTTCAATTTCATTACTCGAAGGACGAGTTCACAAGATATCGCAACTGTCCTCATGGGGAATGAATTGACATTTGCTCATTTTTAATACTTCAGAATACCTGAATTAATGAGTTAATTTTTATAGGTACATGAATGAACGAATGAATGAACAGAAAACTTTATTTGCCGCTTTTCAGCGTTCACAAGGCACAACCAAAACTCCCGCAGCCAAACCCCCTCCCCACCCAACTCAACTCCCCCCAAGACATTCAATCACTTCATATCATGAAACAAATCACAAACCAATGACAAAAATTTCAGTAATTTTAAATCTTTCTTAAGCTGATTTCTATCCATTTGCAATGCTGGACATAAGAAGAGAAGCATTTATATATTTGTCTATATAGGTACATATTATTCCAGAATCCGCGGGAAAAAAGGTCCCAAGAAATGTTACACCATTCCAAGTATTTTTGCCGTTTCGTTTTCCTGATTTCTCAGTTAGAAGGAGGGGTTTTCTTCGAAGCCGGAGGTTTGGATGGAGAAACATTGTCCACAACTCTGTACCTGGAGCGATTCAAGAACTGGACAGGAATGCTTGCAGAAATGAATCCCCTGGGAATTGACAGGATTGTGCAGAAAAACCGGAAATCCTGGCTCGCCCCCGCCTGCCTCTCGCCAACAAATACTCCTTCCAGGGTCTGCGTAAAAATTTGCATTTACGAGGGTTGGTTCATACATTTTTCAGACTTTCTGAAATTGATTCAACAGAGTTTCAACAATCCAAAAAAATATTTTTCTCGCATAGCCCCATCATTTGGCAACACTTCAGTCCTTCTTCAACATGCTCTCTGCCAATTTCAATGCACTTTTTTCCTTATGCGATAAATCCAATGAAGAAAACAGTGCCAAAAATCGAGTTTCGGTGTATTTTGTTTATTTTATTTCCAAAAATTGAAGTATCTGTTACTTTTGGTTATTTCCGACAGTAAAAAACGAACTGAAGGAAATAATTCTCATCATTTATTCCGCCGTCGAAAATCAGCTGATTCAAATAATGGGAACTCAATTTTCGGCACTTTTTCATATCCTTACAGATTCATTGCATTAGAAAATGTATTGAAATCGGCAAAGAGTATATTGATCAGCACTGAAGAGTTGCCAAATGATGGGCTGATATGCGATTAAAATTTTCTTTTGAAATAATAAAACTCCGTTGGATCTCCAATATTTCAAAAAGTCTCAATACTTATGAGCCAAACCTTACACATACTGACATACAGTATTTCCAGAAAGAAATTAACTGATTTCACATTCTTTCTATTTTGTCTGCGCTTTGTGAAGATGGTCATGTATGTGAAGTATGACCCAACAAGGTTTTATACAACATGGGGTGGAACAGTGAGTGAAAAAAACAAGGCAACCAGAGACAATCCGGCCAAGAAAAAATCGAATGAGTTGGAGTTTCGCTCCATAGTTCCTTGCTACCCAGTCACAGCGTTGCTTTTGGCTGCGAATTTGGATTCCATCGACTTTTTCAGCCTGGATGTCGAAGGACTGGAACTCAAAGTGCTCAAAACCATCGACTTTCAAAGGATCAAAATCAAAGTACGTTTCTGAAACCTCGTCCGCTGGACTCGGACCAAATTTGCACAAGAATCGATTGCAGATAATTGACGTATTTTGTTAGAACAAACTTCCAGGGACACGAGAAGAGTTCTTTGAAACAAAATACACCCTAAATACGTATTCGGAATTTTGAGCATTCCTAAAATCGATAAATTTTCATCTGAGTTGAAAAAAATTATCAATAAAGCGAAATGCAATAGATATAGATTCGTATTTTAAAAAGCGAATATTTGTCACACCGGAAGTAACAACGCTTCGAAATTACCCTAAACGAAATGGATTTTAGTTGAAGAGATCTGTGATTTTTTTTTTCAAGTGACCTTTTGGATTTTTAGAGATTTTACAAATTTATTTTACAGGTGATTCACATGGACTTGCTTCACACTGAAGAAGGAGAACCGGCTGTGCATGATTTTCTGAAAACCAAGGGATTCAAGCATGTTCATGGACGTGGTGAACCAGTTGTATTTGTGCATGAAACTTTTTTAGAAACCTTGCAGTAAAAAATTGTTCATCTCACTATATATGTATTTTTATTCATTATTTCTGAATAACGAAGAGCTAACCATCAAAAGCATCTTGTGTTATATCTTTCTGAATATACAGTCAACCCCCGTCTAACGGACTTGATTTGTGTAAGGGACAAGTCTGTTAGACAAAAAGTCCTTTACACAAATTCAATTACATAAAAAATTAAAAATTTCAATTTTCAACACTAATTTTAAACCAAAAGAAGTCTGTTCGGCGGATTTTGTCTGTTGGGTGGGAGGAAAAACTGCTTGCAGAGCTGGTCTGTCTGGCAAAAATCCCTCACATGGGAGGTCTGTTAGGCGGGGGGCACTGTATTTTGCTGAGATAAAAGGCGAAACTGCAGAAGATATGGCTCTGTATATCAAATAAAGCACACTTTAAATGTCTCAGCTCTGAATGAAAAATGAATTTTTTTTCAAGCCCATGCTTTCAATTCCAACTTTATAAATTACAAGATCTGATAAAACTTTAATGAATTATAATTCTTTTAAAATTGCAGACCTCCATTGCGACTAATTTACAGTTGATATCCTTGATTTATTGACAGCAGAATATTACATCAGAAATTTATGATGCTCAATAATAGTAGAATCATCTTCCATGAAATTTGCACAAAAAAAATCGATTTGTGCTGCCTTATTTTGTCCATCAATCTTGACTAATGGGTGCTTCAAGAAAATTAGTGACTTACTTATAATTAGCTTACCTGACCATTGGTAAAAGTGTTTTTATAGGACAAAGGACCAAAGATTGACTTGACATTATACCAAATACTCCCTTTTTTCATATGTGAAAGATTTGGAGTTCAACCTTTATTATGCTTTAGTCCCATAATCATCATGTTAGAACACATAACTCAAAATGTAAATTAGTTGCAGTATTCTATATAATGATCAATATTTTATTCTGAACTATGAAACATATGTCAATGCAAATAGGCAAGAACTGGGACATAACATTTTTTTTTTCAATTCAGGTCCATTGTATAGTGATATAGAAATTCCCAAGCTTAGAAAAACCAAAAGCACTTGACTCTAAAAAAATCGTAAAATACTCAGGAAGTGAGCAGCCGGGATATTTTCTAGTTCATGTTGGCAATTAGACACCTATAAACAAAACCTAGCCTGCTCCTTCAATGAAAATCCAGATTTTTTTTTTTAATAAGTCAAAGACTAATATGGCCAATATTAGTAGAGTTATCAAAAAATGTTTCCCCTTGAAAGCTTTCCAGGAAACTCTTGTTTATTCCTGCGGAATGAAACAAACTCCATGGAAAAGTTTCTGTTGAAGAAAATCTTCAAATGACTGCTGACCCAAAAAGAGACAGCTAAAAATCTATCCCTAAAAAGTCAAGCTGGTCAAACTTCACAGCCAGTGAAAGTCCTGGCAACAAACCTCTCGCAGTTCACATCTTCCCAGGAAGAATTCCAAATAATCCCTTTACTTTACTCATTACTGTGTTACTCACATTACTTCCACTACTCCATGTAAAAGAAACCCATCAACATCTGTTACCATGGACAGGGATCACAAAGCAGAACTCCTCAGTTCTGAAGCAACAGAAGAAGGTGTGATCCAAGAAAGAATCACCAAGGGTGAAGTGACTCATGCCATGGCTTCACTGCCACCTTGTATAGACAAACATCCCACTCTTGTGATGGCCAACAATGAAGCCAGGGTCATCATTAAGCAGGTCCCCAGATTGGAAACCTGTGAAAAAGTTGAAAACAGAGATGATATCTCTGATGCCATGAGCTATGGCTTGGGCTGTGACAAAAATAAAATAATAAATAAAGCTGCATCTCTGAAATCATCCAGAGGCAGCAGCAAAACCTTTTCTGCCAGGACTAGCAAGAGAAGCAGTTTGGCAGGAAGTAAGAAAGTAAGCAGAAAGTCTTCTGACAAATCCTTGGACAGTGGCTCAAGTACTAAGCTGCCAAAGGGGAAATCTTCAAGGAATTCTCGCGGTAGTTCTCAGAGGAGTAGAAAGTCCTCCAGGGCAACACCAGCTAGGGGTTCCAAAATATCATCAATCCATGAAAGGTTAGCACTTAATTTCCATTTAATACTGTACCAGAAATTCACAAAAAAACGCATTCAATACCCAGCCCTGTTCTTGGGAGTGCCCAGGGCTTGATCAGCCATGGAGCCAAAAAAGTTGATGAATTAGCCAGTGCCATGAAGGGAGAAATTGAAGATGTCCCATGCAAATTAGCTGAGAAAACTGAAAACGCCAAATCCCTCATTGATAATACTACTGAGGGCATCATGAAACAATCCAAAGAGGCTGTCATGCAAGGACAATCAGTTGTGGAAGGCGCAGGGAATTCCGTGCATGCTGGGGCAATGAATGTGCTACAGGGGGCCAAAGGTAAATTCAAAATACAATCAATGTTTTTTTTTTGCGCATGAATTGAATGCTTTGTTTTCAGGTGCATTCGATCCTGAGGATAAGTTGGCTTCAGAGGCCAGCAAATCTAAAGGAAGTAGGTCCTCAAATGACCACCACAAAAGGGCAGGCTGTGATGAGTATGACCCAACTGCCTTCATAGCTAAAATGTCTGCTGGAGCAGATGACCCCAAGTCTGATGATGAGCACCAAGATGACTCCAAGAAGCTGCAGCCAAAAACCAGGGAGCTAAATTTGTCTGCTCCAGAAATGGAACAGAGAACAATTTATGATGCCCTTGTCAATGATGATCAAGAGAAGAAGCTTGCCCAAAAGCCCTCTGGGGAGGGTGTCCCAGATATGCACACCCCCAGTGAGTCCATGAGCAGTGTAGCTGCAGCACCCAAGGACATCACTGCCGGTGTGAAAGCTCCACATCCTGGCAACCCTACCATTGATCACTTGTTCACTACCACAAACAATTCCAACAAAAAACGAAGTTGTGAGTCAACTTTTCTGGGAATCCAACATAATATATATGATAAGAGGGAAATATCATTACAACCAAATCTCTTATAACAAACTCCCCAGAGCTGGGAGAAAATGTAACCAAATTTTTGTGTGACTTACTAGTTTGAATGCCTTCATGACTGAAATTGGGTAGGAAATTCAAATTGATCAGTACAATACTGTGAACCAGTGTTCCCCAACCTGCGTGATCCATGGACTGGCACAAGTCTGTTGGTTGAAGTTTTTTTGCTACATAACTCATGTTATGTAGCAAACAAAGTCTTATTTGATATATTGTGAAGTCCACAGTAGTTGAAATAATGTATCTGATTATGAATGAAAGTTGGCTTTTCGTTTAATAACAATTTTTACAAATTTGTATCTGTTTATATTTTAATTGTTAAATTTAAGAATCCTTTCAAGCCCACCTTTTTTATTTTTAAGACATTCCACTAAAGCTACTTCATTGATTCAGCTTTTTTTCAAAAAAGGAAGACTTAATTTCATAACTTCGCTGCCAGGCCCCTAATTTTTTATTTCATTTGCTGGTCCATAAAATTCAATTGAAATTATATGCTGGTCCACTGGTCTAAAAAGGTTGAGGAACACAGCTGTAAACTGCATGCATCTGCAACAAATTACTTATGAGCAAACCGGGGGCAAATAAAACTGATACATTCTAAGATTTAAAGCAAACATTTTTCGAGTAATATTTTTTTAACCATAGCTTCAAAATCATCAGTTTCTGGGTTTTGGATTTGAAAGAGAACTTCTTCTTTAGCAAAAAAAGCATCTCATCATGGATCCATGCCCAAAGATGCACCTCCCAGGAATGATGCTGATGACTTCCACGAAAGCAGTCAAAACAAAACTCCCAAAAATCCACCAGATGTCATCGCTAGTTCCCAGAACTCCAATTCCGCGGGTGAGTCTTCATCTACCTCTTCAATGCAACTACCTGCAGATATCCGGGGAGATACCTCGACATTCAAGAAGACCAAGCGTCAAACTGAGGCTGAACCCTACATGAACCCTGGGGGAACCATAGTAACCTATGGCAACAAAGACGGCCATAAAGATAAGAGAAAACGCGTCGTTCGCAAGCCAAAGGTAAAAGCCTCCGATCAAGAAGCATTTGAGAGACCTGTGCCAGCACCCAGCAACTCTTGGGCTGAGTCCCCCTATGAAGATGTCGGTCCTCCACCAGTTGAACTTACTCCTGAGCAGATAGAGCAGATTCAACTGTATCAGGCTGCCCAACAAAACCAAGATCATGAATTCATTGAACATAACTTTCCTGAACTTGGTGAACAGCCTGAGCAAAATGACAACTTGGCTCTTGATGTTCCATCCACAGTGCCTCAAAACCAGCCCAATGCTCGTGTCCAGAGAAAATCCAGCAAGTCCAAGAGTCCACATAGGAGAGCGAGTCATGATAGGGCTGGAGCAGACAGCAATAAGAAGCCTAAGCATGGCAAGAAGCCCAGAGTTTCCGCCAGTGATAATGATGAGGATGAGCTTGATGATATGGACGTTTCTTCCAAATCTATGGCTGCTGATATTCTCAAGTCACTGTATGATGGTAGGTTTTTGAGAAATCACAAAAACGCAGTTCTGGAAAAATCCTATAAGCATTGGAGAAAAAAAATCAGATCAGACATATCAGATTTTAGATTATAAAAGCTCACTTTTGATGCACAACTCAATAAAAATGATAGCAATTTTGTGCATTGTCCAGTAAGTATATATGAGAATGAGAATTTGTAGTGGGCTGTCCCTGATCACAAAAGGACAGTCACTGCTTTTTTTGCATCAGATTTTAGATTATAAAAGCTCACTTTTGATGCACAACTCAATAAAAATGATAGCAATTTTGTGCATTGTCCAGTAAGTATGAATGAGAATTTGTAGTGGGCTAGCCCTGATCACATAAGGACATTCACTTAATTGTCCTGCTTTTTTTGATAGAGGTTATCAATCCACATTTTTAAAGGTGCTGCCAACTTAGTAGAAGCAGCAAAGGAATCCACAGCCCAAATAATGACATCTACAGAAGCCAGGGTCTCTGACACCATTGAAACAGCTGAGGAAACAGCAGCTGCAGCCAGAACCAAGGCAGCTGATGCTGCAACCACCATCCAAAAGAAGGCCAAAAAAACAACTGAGAGTGTGCAAGAAATGACCACAGGCATGAAGGATGGTATCTACAATGCTGGAGCCACTGCTGCCAACATCATCACAACTGCAAAGGACACTGCTGCACATGCCACTCAAAAAGTCATTCCCAATAATGACCCTCAGGAGGAAGGTGCCATGACAAAGGCCTCTCACATGATTCAAGATGCAGAGGATGCCATCAGTGGTTCCATGCATTATGCTGCTGATACTGCTGCCAATGCTGCCAAAACTGCTGGGACTGAAGTTGCACACATTTTGGAAATAGCCAAAGACACTGCATCTGATGCTGCTGTTAATGCTGCTGGCTCTGCTGCAAATGCTGCTGGTGCTGCTGCAAATGTGGCCAAAACTGCTGGGACTGAAGTAGCACACATTTTAGAAAAAGCCAAAGACACTGCAACTGATGCTGCTTCAAGTGTCATTCCAGCAGCAACAACAACTACAACAAGTCAACCTCAAAAAGAAAAGCGCAAATCATCCAAAGGAAGACGCTCAGGAGCGGGACAAGATCAATCACCCAGACCCAAAGCAGGGGCTGATCCTGATCCTCTCAGTGATAAAACCAGACGCCAAAAGAAATCCCAGCACCACTCCAAAGAAGACACCAGACGCTTGGCCGAAGAACCTCAAAGTGAGCCAATGAGTGAAAGACGTGATGACAAACATCAAGAAAGAGTCCACGGTGAACATGACTTGCGAAACAAAGAACCCACCACTAGACAAACTCCAGACATTATTCACCACAACAAAAGTAAAGAGGGCAACATTGACCACGCTCCTGACCTTCGAGGTCAAGCTAAAGAAACAGCAAACGAAATTGCTAGGTCTGTCAGAAAGGCGTCAAATCCAGATCACGAAGAAAAACATGACAGAGCAGGAGAAGATCCTCAGGAGATTCCCTACAAAATCGCTGAAAAAGCCCAGAAATTATCCACTGAAGTCATGCACAAAGTCAGCAGTAAGACAGATGACACCGTCCAAAAAATCGTTACTAAAGTAGAAACCCTCAAAAAGGAAGCAGTGGATATGGTTCACGATACGATCAAAAAAGACGAACACGCCGAAAAGAAGCCCAGTGGAACCGAAGACTTTCACAAGAGAGCAGGAGCTGATTCTGAACCCATCGATGATCACATCCAGAGAGCTAAAAACACTGCTGAAGCCGCAAGAGATGAGCTACGAAATCATGTCAACAAAAACGCGGAAAAAGCATCCGACATGATACACGTCGCCAAGAGTGACGTCAACGAAAAGGCACAGAACCTGAAAGACAAAACCAAGAAACTAATCCAGGAGATCAAGCCCGAAGACGAGAAAAAGAAACCTTCGGAAGGCTCTAGGAGTGAAGCCGGAGAAGACGGACACAGAAGTAAACCTTTGTCCAACCAGATGTCGCACCCTAAGAACAGCGCACAGGCCGCAAAAGGGACCTCACTCGCAACAGCAGCAGAAAATGCCAACAATCCGTTACATAACGCTGAAAAGCTTCAAGACACCGTGATCAATTTGGGTTCCCATGAAAAGAGCCCAGGCGAAAATGACCATCACCAGAGAGCCGGGGAAGACAAGCCAGTAAAAGACCACGCCCAGAAAAAGCACAAAAATGATGAAATTCACAGTGAGCCCATGAGTGAAACTAAAGACAAAAAACATCATGAGCAAAGAGCACATGCAAAACATGACTCACACCATAGAGACACTCACGAAAGGCAAACTCCAGATCTTATGCATCATTCAAAAGAAAAATCTCACGACGGAAATGACAAAATAGCTCCTGACCTCGAGGGACATGCGAAAGATATCGCCGCAGACATTGTCAAGTCTGTCAAAAAAGCTTCTGACCCCGATCATGAAGACCACGATGAACACCGAAGAGCTGGAGAGGATCCCTCAAGTCACAGCATTGCGAAAATCGTTGATCAAGAAAAGCAATCAACAAAAGAAAAGGCAACAGATCTCATGCACAAAGTCAAGGACAAGGCGGAAGATGCGGCCCATAAAGTTGGATCAAAACTGGGAGAAGTAAGAGAAAAAGGCATAGATGTGGTTCACGACGCTGCGAAGAACGTTGAAAAGGAAACTAAAGACAGCAAAAACAAGCATCGTACAGGAGCTGGTGCTGACAATGAGGACAAAAAGGAGAACGAAGAGAAAAGACCAAGTTCAAGTGGTACGTACAAAACTATAAACACCTATAATTTGTATTTTATTCCTGAACAATTTTCAGTCCACGATTAGTGCCACATGCGCGAAAGAAAAGCAAGTACTTGTATTGAAGTACCTTTTCAAATATAAATTGCCATAACAAATTGCCACTGCACAGATCAACTCCCCAATTTATTGAAAGTTTCAAGCAGATTATCTCCCTTCTAGCTGATAAAAGAACTGCACCCGAACTGCTGTTTTTACAGGTAGCAAGACTCGTCATTTACATCACAAAGCAAGAACCCTAGAGCAACCCTCGCCCAAGGATTTTACCCAACATGCCATTCAACAAGATCAAAAATCAAATGATATCGACATCCACTCAAGTCATGATGATCAAGGTATCTTCGAGAAGGCTGCAGGAATTGCTTCTGATGCCATTCACGCAGTTCAGAATTTTGCTACGCACGCAAGCACTGATACCGCAGATGCGATTAACTCACAAAAGGACAATTTAAAACAAACTGCCGAAGATGTGCAAAAAGGAGTTAAAGACAATCTCTCATCCATCAATAATTCTGTGGATTCGGCTCTGAAAAAATCAGAAGATGCAAAACAAACTGCACAGGAAATCAAGCAGCATTTGACTGAAACTGTGCAAAGTAAAGTCGAGAAGGTGGAAGCAATTGCCAAGGAAGAACTAGACGCAGCGAAAGATTTAGTCAAGCCAAAGAGGCGAGACAGTGTGAAAAATATTGTGGAGGATGCGGTTGCTGAAAAATCAATGACAGCCTCAGAATGGCTCAGTGAGAAGGCCGAAAACATTGTTGAAGCTGTTCATCACGCCGAAGAAGTCGTGAAGGATCAACTAGGTTTGGGACAACCAGAAAATAAAGAGAAGGAAAAAGAAAAACGAGACGACAAGAAGTGAACCTGTTCTTGGTTTTAACTCGCGGGAATAAACTTGTTTTATAATTTGTTTGCCATCCTTTTTTTCATCTAAACCTCAAATTCCGCAATTCTCCATCACCTATGTCGCCGCTGTACTGCAAACCAATACAACTCAAAATGAAAATTGCAAAGGAAATCTTGAAATTTTATGATTGATTTATTCAATAACGACAATGATCCGAGAAAAAGGGCAACTATTTTATTTGAACCCAGTTCAGAATGGCTGGCTTATAATTGTAAAATATCGGACATCGAACTTCATACAAATGTCTGAAATGTAAATATTCTTTCCTCACGTAATTTATGAAAATTCTCACAGGAGAGAAAAATTTTCAAGTCCTCGACAAAAAGGAAGCCACAAAGAAAGCTCAGAAGACGTTATATACGCACATTCGATGAATCGATCATTAAATCCCTGATCTGACATATTTCCTGATACGCATCAAAAAATGTCAATCGCGCAACAATTACTCTTTCGAAAATGCACAAGTAATTGTTCACCATTATTGTTCCATCATGTAATTACGCCAGAAACACGCCCATCTTAACTCACCGCAAATTATCCACGTGTTGCGCATTTCGCCATTTATCTGTGACTTGCTACGCAGTTCTCAACGCACTGCGCCACATTCAGTATGTTCAGCAAGAATTTTTTCCAACAAACTTCGCGAAATTTGGTCAAGATTGGCGAACAGCGGGAGGATTTGAGTACCTCTAAATGGATTTACGCTGTCGCAGGATTATCACTTGCACTCATATCGATATATCAGGTACGATCGCCTCAATGGTGCGTTGAGTTTCCTGCTTAAATTTTTTTGAAGCATCACAGATTTGATTATTGGAGTGAACATTTCGCGGCCACGACAATCTTCGGTAATAAGCTCTCATTTCCGAGAAGTTCTTCAAATCAAAATATCGAACCTGATCGAGTTCGTGGTCGATGACGTGGTCCGTTTGACGAAGTTTTCGTTCCAATTCGCAGTCAGGTCAATGCTTGGTGAGGTATTTAACAATGCCAACACTGACCTCGGTCACGTGGAAAAACTACGAAGCTGAGGATACGCCTGCGATCACCATTTGCGCAATGCCTTCTTTTCACCCTGACAAATGGACGACATTTTTCGACCAGTATTCAGGAGGTCAAGAATTGATCAATAAACCTTACGTGTCTGCTCCGCAAATGTACAATTTGGCGAAAATTAATGCATCTTATTTGGACGAGTTTTTCCGCTTTGTCGCAATGCCGGTTGTTGCTCAGGTCACTTATTGCGCTTTCGGGGCCACGGACAACGAATGCAAACCATATCCTGGTGGTGAGACCCTGAAACATTGAATATAGCAATGCATATCAATTTTTTTCAGTTTCAGCAACTTTCCCCAGAATGGAAAAACTTCTGACAACTTGGCAGCTTAATTTTAAAAGAAAATTTTAAAGGAAAAACTATGAGTTCTTCTTTAAACTATTTCCGGTGAAGAGATGACGCACAAAAGTGCATCAAAATTAAAAATGGCTGCAATACGCCTAAAAAACTTGAATTTTTTTTAGGCATGAGAAATACAATAAATTACTATTCAACTTCACCCAAAACTCAAAGAGAACCTCATAAACGACTCAAGCAATGTTGATATGTCAGGAGTTCAGGACTACTCAAATTTACATCGCATTTGCAATGGATTCATCATGGAAGGCTTACAAAAACCACCTTTCTGACTGCCAGTGACATCTACCCACTGTAAAACAACCTTTGATGAAGTGGACAATCCAATAATTGATTCACAGGAATTTAACCCTTGGATGGCAACAGCCTCCATTCCATTCCACAGCGAAGTCCAGATTTTTTGCTTTCATGATTCTTCAGTGCTAATCCTTCGCTAGGAATGCAGGAAAAAAGTTCAGAATTTTTTATATACAGTACTGTACTATAGGCATATTTTGTGTAGGATTGAAAAAAAGGATTTCAATTTTTCAAACTTAGGCCTTGGTACAGAAATGCAATTTTCAAATGTTCAGTGCTCATGAAGGGCACAAAATGTTGCAAAATATCCTGATTCTGTTAAACAAGGGTTAACGTCATATTTCACTATACCCAGCAGATACTCTCTTGTAACCATTCATACAATACTTTAATTTCCTGGCAATAAAGGAAAAAATCGGCATTAGTTCTAAAACTTTTCTAGCTGGCTCACGCGTTTGATTTCAAAAAAATTGCACTCCTATTGATCAACAGCAAAAGGGTTATTCTACAATTGGGAATCTGGAAACTCGTCCCTGATAGACACACCAAGTGGAAAGTGGATAACTAGAATGATTGAAGAAAACATCGGCCCTTTCGACGACAACATCGGAAAATGTTCGACACTGGTTGGCAGAAACCTCACTTTAAAGCACGGTTTACACAACAGAATCATCATTGACCTCGACTCCGGCATCCGAAGACCACCGCTGTACAATTACAGATCAGGGTAATAAAAAAAGAGTCGCTGATATATCAAATAACTCAAAATTTGATTCGAAAAAATAGAAGTTTCTTATTCACAGAAGCTGGAACGAATGGCTTACGAAGTCTGACTGGTTGACGACATCCTGGTCCTTGTACATTCACGAAGTCAAAGAAGCCGTCGGAAGTTACGCTTTGGTCAACGAAATCGAGAGGCTGAAAATAAATTTTGACACCATCACGGACGTGACATTTACAACGGAAAAATACGTCACCTTGTCCAAGGACGATCAGCTTTGCAACGACGATCCAAGCTACAGTCATCAACGAGTTGTTTCTTCTATCTTTCATGACATATTTGATCTGATATAATCAGCTTTCATTCTTTCGAAACCCAGCAAAATTTTGAAATTTATGTCGTTAATGTTCGCAAGCTAAACGCGTGTTGTACAACTATTCGTACAATTAAATCGGTCTTGGATTTAAAATCGCAATTTTAAGATTAATCATCAGAACAAAACCGCGCATCTGTGATGATAATTATTTCACAATTCAACTTCGAATTTAAAACATAATCTCGATTTCCAGTGCAGGCAACGCTGTTACGAAGAATTCGTCATCCCGTGTACGATTCCGGGGGTCAACCAAGAAAATACATCCGCAATTTCTCAAAAAAGCCGCGAGAAAACAGGATTCAAGCAGCCGAGGGAATGTAACATGAAGGACACCCGAGATGACATTGATTATGGTTTAGTAAAAGCAAGTTTATTCACCAGAAATGGAAGCAGGGCGTTTCAGGATGCAATGGATAATTGCTGTGCTAAACCTTGCACTTATTACAGGTACGTCTCCTTATAGCCAGCTTATATTAAGACGAAAAAAAACAATCACGATCAAGAAAGTGTTAGGATATTCAACCAAGGCCAAAATTGCAGGTTACCAGACTGAAATTCAATCAGTTCAGAATTTTGCAATGAATATACTGTCGAAAAACTAAAAATATAGGGTAGCACGGAATTTTTTAAACCAGCTCAGAACGAGTTCTACTTTTAAAAATCTTCAATGTAGTTTCGAAAGAAGGTTCCAATTTTTTTATTTTTTCTTTTTCTTTCCAGGTTTCGGGCCCAACAGTTTCTAAGGTCATGGAAATTATTTTTATTTACAAAAGAAGGGAGAAAGTTCATTCAAACTTCCACACGTCCAAAAACTCAATGACTGTCGCAGGATTGAATTCGATTCAAGATCAAATTTTTACTTTTTATCACTGTACTTTAGAGTCGATCAAAATATTCTGGCCCACTCTTACAAGACTTACAAATCCTGAGTTCAATTTAAAATGCCGGTGCTTCGGGGGATGATTGAATTACTTTCTTCTTATAGCTACGTCTACAAAAAAGCCTCAGAGATGAGAATGCTCGGCGTTAGACCAGCTGAGGATTCATACAAGGCAAAAATCCGCATCGGAATCGGAGACAGTCGCGTCAAGGTGGTGGAAGAACATTTGGCTTACGAAATGGCGCAGTTTTTGGGTGAACTCGGAGGAATTTGGGGACTCTTTTTGGGCGCTTCTGTCGTCAACGTCTTGGCCCTGCTTTACGCTTTCTTTCTGCAAACAGCACACACAAAATTATCCACTGCTGAAGGCAGGAAGGCTTGAATTTCAACGATTTTCGAATCAATTCCATCACCTTGGCGTACAAACCATCTGAGCACTAAAACGGAAATGCAGACGAATCATCAACGCTTTTCCGGTATTCATTTATAAACAAAGTACCAGCTCATTCACACGGATTCATTCAGTTGCATATTTTCAACTCATCATACTTCGAAGGATGTCTCAAACTGAACAATAAAAGTAATTCCGGAAAATCCGTTTCTTCTTTGTATTCGATTCTTTCAAGTTGCAAAATCGACAACGAAGAGCAGCTTTTCCCAGAGACCCAAACTCATTCAATTTTACGAGTTTTTTCAAGACGCAATCAAACAATGTATAGACCAATTTCTGTTTTCACGCAATAAGAATTCCTTTCTGAAGGCCACCGACACAATGTTTTCGCCTGTGCTTGGAAGGAATATTATTTCAGCATGCCGTTGCCCTTGGAAGAGTAACAGGCACATCATTCAATCCATAAATCCCAGGCGGAGCATCTTGAATTTGCGTTAAGTCCACTCGAAAATTGAGGAACATGAACGTCAGCCAATTATTCGGATCGAAAATCGCAACGTTTTTAGTTTCATGCGTGCCTTTGAACCCCGGGGTACGACGAATTGGTGTCTCTTCATCGAGGCTAATGAACCACGTTCCTTCGGGGATATAATAACGCCAACCTCGCTTGTACCTACACAGAAAAAAAAGACTTGTCATAAGCCATCAATTTTCCAGCTTGAGTACAGCAGTATATTATCCATTTCACTGAAAATGACTCACAATTCAATGGCAATTTGCATACGACGCTCATCTTGGTAAAATGTCATGAAAAAGCAGAAGAACAAACAACTGGTTCCCATGCGAGAGTAATCGATCTCTGGAAGCAGATGGCTGGAACGAAAAAGCAGAGCAAGACAAAATTTCAAATGAATCAAAATATTTTGATATATATATTCAGCTCGTAGTATACACTACACTCGATAGTTTGATGAAACTTGGTGGCATCAACTCAAAAAATCAAGAATAAAGAAGCATGAACGTATTAAAAAATTATACATAACTTGTTTTTAACTTCAGCTTACAATGAACATTGTCTTTTATCTTTCGAAAATTTTCGAGAATAACAATAAAACTTGCCTGATTTTCATGACAAGAGGTCCGATGAATTCAGTAGATTGGCCCACACATCGACTGAGATTTTTAAACTCTTCAATCTTTTGCGTCATGTCTTTTTCCCATGCCTTGAGAGCGTCAAGAAATTTAGTGCAACTATTTTTCGGATGTAGCTCAACTTCTTTGTACACGTTTGACGATAAAAGGCTCTGGTCCGGTTTCTTCGCGTTGTTTCTCGGCATTTGATTTGGAAATAAATCATCATGCCTGTGCTTCGTATTGGCCTGTTATTTATCGGCACACATCAAAAGACGTATTAGTAACGTGATCAGTTGTGACTCATCCACATCATTTAAGTTCGTTTGAAGGACTTAACAGCAGCTTTTTCAATGCTATGAAAAACTTTTCGGCGCCTTTCAGAAAACTTCTACAGCTAAGAAGTGCATCAAATAACCCAAACGATTCGAACTGATTGTGCTACGCTAAACCCCCTCAAAATGAGCAAATCAGTCAGAATAATGAATAAACTAAACGTTAACAACCTCAACTCTTTCTGACGGGATAGGATTGATGCCAAGATTCGATTTCAGAATCTCCCTTCCTCTGGGCTTTCCATCAACTTGAAATTGTTCAGGAACCGCAGGCTTCACGCTCGCATTCTCCATGAAAACGGATGTTTGTAATGACACTGAATTCTGAGAGTTGCTTCCACAACGAGAAATAGCATTCAGGATCTGAGAAGGTCCCTCACTTGAACGTCGAATGGATTCTGCATACGTGTTCCGTTGGTTCATAACTTGGGAATTGAAGAAGATATCATTAAATCGCAAATCAGCAACGACATGATCAATATGCCATAGAGTACAAAAACCTAAGATAAATAGTTTACTGCATAAAAAGATGAATCTCCTGCTGTGCTGATCATGAAGATAATTTCCTCTTACAAACGCCTTAGTTTTCGGCGCAAGATATTCATACGCATTCTGCGCGTTACGCAAAAATCCCAGAAAGATCAATCGTTCGTCATGGTGGATTCACACACAATCGCTCTGTCACTTAATGTCACCGCTAATAAATACATTATTCACGGACCTCATTTTTTAGCGACATCTACAAAATACATATCAAAGTGATGTAATTACTTGTCATCTTTGGAGTGACGATGGAGAGACGGACTCATGAAGTTGCGTGTTCCGTTAGCCAAAGTTTAATCCGAGTTATTTAGGTGTTACAGTTGAGTTGATTTTAGCCTAAAATACTAAAAATTTCGTCCATTAAGAGCACTATGGTGGCAAAGACAGAGTACAATAATACAGTAGTTCGTTTCTTCTCGTGACTGCCCCTCTTACATGCTTTTTTTTGCATCAAGGGGGCGTCTGATTGAGAATTAGCGTTTAAATTGTGTACAAAATTGCATCATTAACTCACTGTACAGAGGAACATTGTGGGTAGTCATTTCACAACCGGAAGAACTCTGATGTCGTCCACCAAATTCAAGCGATGGCAACACTTGATGGTGATCGTGGGTCGGAAATGACTTTCTCCTCATCATCGCCGTATGTTGCAGCGAAGTCGAGCGAGGATAAAATGGCTGACTATGCTGCGGATGAACGTGATGATGACATGGAAACATCATCGCGTTGTGACGCACCGGAACAGGCATGAAGCGCATCAGAGGGTTCCTGGAATCGCAATAAAATCCGTTGCCATTGCTGGGAAAGCCTACTGCTGACGCAGGGTGAGGTTGGAACATTTGCTCTTGGCTTCTTCGTTGCAGAACATCTGGAGACGAATTGTTTTGCGAAGTCCACGGAGGTACGTAATTCCTCAGACGCGCAACGGACGAATCCGGATGAGGCAAATAATGCGGACCACTTCTAACACCAAGACCACTGTGATTAAAAAAAAATTAATTGAAAAGATTTCTCAGAATACTGCGCATTATTAGTACAGTACTGTGAACCACGGGAAAATTTGAGGAAATTCTCAGCAGCATCGTGCCTAAATCAATGCAAAATATTCCACGATCCATGAACAGCCGCATTCAAGTTCAGCAAATAATTCTAGTTGGATTGATACAGGAATCGCACGTTAAACAGAAATATTTTCAGAGAATGTTGACGATTGTATATTCGATGGACTTTCTTAAAAGGCTTGTGTGAAGGTTGTCCTGGTTCCGCATGCCATCGAATGATCAGCAAAGAGCTAGTCAATAAGTAGCGCTGCCTCATTTCTTAGGGGGATACTTCTTTGGATTTCGAGGTTTTCAGAGACTTTTGAAATTATGTACATCATACGGTAGATTTTCTCTGCAACGAAATTCAAAGGACCAAAAAATCGCTACAGAGAACCCCCATATTATTAGCTAAGGGAAAGAACCAAATATGAGATAAAAAAATAATTCATTATCAAGTACACGTAAAATCCTTGAAGTGAGTCCTCCTGTGATTATCTATTTGTCTTGTGATTAGTACAATAAGTTCGAACAAAAATTCATAAAACCCAAAAATTTGTGTTTTTTTTAATGACAAATGACTTCAAGTTGCATTCGATCCGGTCGGAATTTCTCAGTTTACGTCATCCTAAGTTTACAGATTAGAAAATTCCATATTAGAAAATATCTTCAACAAATTCAAAAGATTCTTCGGGAGATTTCGGCGAGATCGCATCTGCCCAAGAACATTGTTTTTAAAAAAACATTTGCAAAACTTATGCAAAATATAGGCTTCAAATTTGATTACCTCACTGGCAAGAATGCCCCATTGTTTTGATACTGCCGTTGTCGTAGGAAAGGTGTACCTTGAACAGGGGTTTCAAATCCAAGCTTCTGCTGATGTCTCTTCGACAACGGGTCACTCGACGCTTCGAAACTTGCGCCATCATCGGAAGATTCCGCATCCCGCTTCACAGCTGGCAGATGCCGTGAAACAGTTTCAGCGTGCTTCCATTTCGTATTATCAGATTTTTTCTGATTGACAAAAGAGCCCAGGAAGAAGCTGCTGTCGGAAATGGATCGTAACTTGGTCTGGTCTTCGGTGAGATTACTGATAGGCAATTGTGAAACAGAATTCGGGCGACTAGATACTTCAGCAAAATCCTGTTCGATGCTGTTCACAGTAGAACTCACTTTCCTCCCTGCTGAAATTAAAAAAAAACATCGCAGAATCGGAAACTTTTAAAGTACTGGACAGAAAGATTCGGGGACTGTGTTAGAACATATAACGTAATACCCGCATCACCGAATGTAAAACTTTGCGCGTCAAAAAAGATACCGTATATCGCCGGTACTTCATTCATTTTTGTTGTGCCTGTAATTCTGGGTAAGCGCAATCGGGCTAGGTCAGGCTGACAGATTATTTGAGGATTTATGGGGATATTTTTCAACATTAGTTTCACGAATTCTTAATATTTAAAAAAGTTATAAAATACGACAGAATTTGTTTCCTTTTAAAAAAGCCGAAATATATAGGTTATGAACGCACAAAGTACAGTATACTGCATAGACATGCAGTACAATTTCGTCAACACGTTAGCGAACGAATTACTGCTTACAACGAATTCAATTTCAGGTCCTTGCCCAACAGAAAAAAAAGCTATTTTTATTTATTTTTAACGAATTTAACGTTATAACGAAGCTTTTTTGCGTCCCACTTGCTTCGTTTTAACGGTGCATTTATTTTTAGCACAATATAGCGTATCACACATGTATGTCTGGGAAATAATATACTGTTTACCATAAATATATAAAAAGGTATAATCCGGCTTCTCGGGAATAAAGAAGAGAAAGTCATGCACTTCACAGTCTCGCAGAACAAAAAATGGCATCTCGTAGGAAATAAGTTATGTTCCAAAATATGAACACAAAATGTCTATCCGTAAACAAGGACCTGATGTAATACCGATTTAAACCTCACAGAACCTGACTTTGTACTGCTAATTTTTTCTGCAATTTTTCTTAGCAAAATTCAATCGAGCAAAAACCTCTGAAATCCGCAAACGCTGAACGAACAATCAACTCTTCTTGGGATGCAGACAAAACTCGGGTTTGCGAAGTACTGTTGCAGTCATAGAAAACGTCATCGTCATCCTCATCTTCGTTTTCCTGCTCTCCGCCATCTTTTTTCCAGTTCGCCGCCTCCATGATTCCTTCATACGACGAAAGCCGCAGCCGAATGGGCGTCAATTGCTTCAAACCATCGCCTTCTTCGTCATTTTCCTCAGAATCTATCTCAATTGCAGGACCTAGGTTCTCTTGAGCATGTCCAGTCATCATGGCTTCATTGTTGGACAAGAGACGTGAACGAGTAGACGGCTTGTGATCCAGTCGAAAAGGCACGGCTTTTCGTTCCTCCGTCGGGGGCTGCGGGGTGGGGCGCCTCGGGGGTGCAGAAACAATATCTGCGAAGGTCGGAGTCGACTCGTCCGGCCTCCAATGAGTTTCTGCAGTTTCGTACGTTTCAGTAGAAGGAACTTCACCAGTAGCTGCGGAAATATAGACAGAAGCAGAGAAAATAACGCAGAGATTCCTGGAAAATAATTATTTTCTTTGTAGGCGCACAGCGCGCGAAACTGGGACAGAAAATTCGTTCGCTACACCAGGAAAACCTCGCATCTCGGACGTTACGCTGAATGTACTTGGACTATAGCACCCGATTTTCCATTCGTAAAAATGACCTTCGTTGCAGATAAGAGGCTGCATGAAAAGGGATCGCTCCTAAAAAAAATTGGGCTGCAGAAAATATGATTGCCAGCAGAATCATTCCAAGAGTTTGTGCTACAGATGGTCTCTCTCTACTACATCGATTTGGTTTACAAAGATTTTACCTCTAGACAAACTTTTTTTAGTCCCATAGGTTTCTCTCCCCACGTTATAGAGGTACTCCATACCGAAATACTCTCTACAAAGAATTATTTTATAGTCCCCGGAATTCCGTCGTATAGAGAGTCCACCTGTAGAAGATCTTACTTGACTTAGGGATCAAAATCACTTTCCAACTCTGGATTTCTTGAACTTTTTCAATTGGGAATTTATTGAAGAATTCATGAGGGGGATTTTCAGAGATCAGAGAATTGACAAGTCAAGTCGTACATGCAGCAGCTACACAGTAAAAATCGAAGGAAAACTTTGGAGAGTCTTGAAGTTTCGCAAAGCTTAATATAACTCGGTTAATGGACTTATTATACCACGGATCGTCTACAATAAGTGAGAATGAAAGAAAGTTTGAAGGAAGAAAAACTAGGCAAATAAATACCCGCAGGCGATTCCAAAACAGTCGAAGCGACATTTTTCACAGATGCACTTGCTCCCCAGGCTTCAGCAGCATTCCTGAAAATCGTCATCGGATTTTTATTCGTCACTGTGGTCGACGACGACTCGGACAATGACGGGAATTCGGCCTTCGACATCAAGAAGCGAGAGGGTCCAGAGATGGGTTTCGTTGATGATCCTGGCGACACTGATGCAGTTTTAACGCTCGCTTTCGTGTCCCAGGTCGAATCTTGTTCGGATCCAGGAACTTTCGACTGATTGTGAGAGGATTTGATCGACATCGACGAGGGTTTACGTTGAGACGAGCTGCTCCCGGTGCGATTCGCTTCGAATGTTTGCGTCATCGGGTAAAAACGAGATGGCGGCGATTTGCACATTTCTCTGCAATCACGAATTGATCAATGAATACGGAAGAACGTAGATACAACCTAAAAACTGTAAAATGTAAATCTACTGGGTAGATATGATCCTACTGAGCTGGGATCAATAAAAATTAAGTTTCGGCGCCTCTGTCATCCTTCACAGCCTATGCATAGAAATCCAAGAATAATCAAGATTAACATACCGCAGCAATAAGGAACCAGAGAAAGAGCAAAGGAAGAAAACATTCCTCAATCTCGAATAACTCAAAATAAAATACATTCCATGATTCAAAATCCGGCGCGCAATTCAAGGAAAAACAAAAAACCATCGCGTTCGTCGCAAAATAAGGAGAAGCGTTTTTGATTTTTAAAAATATAATCCTTCTACTGCAGTGAGTATTTAATGAATTCCATTCAATTTGAAACGAGATTCTGCGCATTCCTCTTCACATTTAATTTCTGAAAACAAAGAAAAGGCATAAAAAATGCAAAAATCTCACCGCGCATTGGCAACAACCGTTCCGATTGTTCTCCGTTCCCGAGCAGGAATGTTACTAGCCAGAGTCACGCGACGTCCAGAAGATCCCCAAGCATTTTCGCACACCACAAAATCTGCTGAAGATTGCTCATATTCTCCCTTACCTCCCGTTTCTCTTCCAGAAGATCACATTTATATATACGAGGGTTATGCTCAGTTGGATGCGGTCAGTTACAGCCAGAGCTCTTCACCCACGTCCGAGGGTGCTAAAACTTTGTCAGCCTAGCTAAAAAAAATGAACTTTTGTGTGGTTTAACCGTTTTCTAAAATTAGCTGATATAATGGGTAAAACAAAAAGTTGTTTTTTTTTAGCTGGCCTGTCACATTTTTCGCACCCTCTAGCTGACACGGGTGGTGAATTCCGGCTGCAACTATAGGAAGTTTTCTTTTATCCTCATGCAGTGAATTGGAAAACATTTTTTAAATCTGAAAACAATTCCAGAGCCTTGTAGAATAGCATGCGTTATGTCATGATTTTTTCTTACGATCACACCTACTCTAGAAATATCAGAGGCCGCATTCAACTGGGACAACCATCGAATATTCATTAGCTACCATTATAAATCGAAGTTCGATGTCGACGGCTCGCATTATTATCCCCGTGTCGGGCACTTCGATCCCCGATATTATTCCGACATTGATTGCCTTTGCGTTGATGTTCCTTTCGTCCATCAGCGGGAAATTCTGCGTTCTTAGGCATTGTGCTTCCGATGCAGAATAACGAGAACTGTATAAAAAAGGTAGGAGATAATCGATACAAGACAATAAATGAAACACCTCGAGGCACCAAAAAATAATACGAATTTCCACTTGCATCATTAGGACTATTGCATTATCACAGCAATTAACCATCAAACGGGCCAACGAAGAAAATATTCAAATTCGAAAATATCGGAATTTCTAACATGTAGATTCTTAATTTTCCCCATTTTCCAGAGCATAATCCAAACAAATAAACTTACAGTATAATGCAAAATAAAAACAACTCACAGTGTGCCGCTCACGCTTTCGTATTTGCTTTATTCTCTTGAATGCGGAAAATTTAAACTAGAACACTTCAAGCGAAATTGAGCAATTCTCAATCAAAAGAGCATGAATAATGCGTCTAGACAATCTGGAAAAAGCGCTTCAGTCAGAAATATCACGAGACCTTAAAAAATTGAACATCTCGGCACATCTAAATATCCAATGGCGAAAATCGTACTGCAAAAATGAGTACAGTATCGCAGTTGATTCCAAAGTCGAAAAGGATTCGAGGTATACACGGGTATACGACCATGGAAAGACATTCTCATTCAATTGGAGGTACATTACGTTCAATCGGGATCAGGAGAAAATTTCTGCGGGGAGAATATGCATCAATTATGGAAACAATAAACCGGAGAAACCAGGAGAGAAAACCCTGACACAGTATATGGAGAAGACGAGAGATGGCACAGAAACTACCACACGTTCAAATACAAAACCCCGTTTAAAATACTGTATCTCGAAATTTCCCTGTTTATTTTTACTGCTTCAACATCGGTCGATTTTTGTTTTGCTGATGAACCTTCTGCAATTGATACAGCATTTATGAACATTATTCATAACCTACAGTTGATAACGAAGAATATTCAACAGTTAGCCTTCTCGGCATCATTTTCTCCAACTCGGCGTTCTCTCAATCTCTCCTGATGCCGTCGAACTTTAGGAAAAGTAATAAGATTCCGCGAGGTAACAACACGTCAGCGTTGATTCTTCCTCCGAAATTCGATTCCGAATGATCACCAAAATAACCCGAATTAAAACGACTGGGCCTGTGGCTCAGCATCGAAGACTTCAGCCTCATCAGATCCTCGTCGGAAACTAAACTCTCCACCAGCGAATCCCGCAATTGCCTCCATCGCTTCGGACGCGAAGAACCTCACGTCGCGATCCAAATCGCTGAGCAAAACTTGCAAACTCGGATTCACCATGGTCAACATGACTTCTTCCCCAACTACGGGGAAAATGCGCTTCAGGGTTTTTGCGACGACCATGCGCAAATTTGGCACTTGGTCAGAGGCCAAGGACAAGACCAGAGGAACGAGTATTGCTGAGGTAGTGTTGGCGCCACATGCTTCTGCCACTTCTCCAACCACCGTCAAAAATACCATCTTCTCCCTGAGTGAAGTAGAAATCTATGCCTTTTATTCAAGTGGTCTCAACCATATTTTTACGCATTTTTCGACATTCCGTTATCCCTGCAAACTTGATCCCAAATGAATAAACATGATACTAGCCTAAACAAACTCAAATACAGCATACATGTACTAAACAAATACGGTGCGTCCCTAAGGGACACACCGAACTTATGAACTGACATCCGTCAACAAACCTGATACAGGTGGTACCTCGCAATTTAACCTCCCGAAATTCGACCGTCCCGCAATTCGACAGTCGAATTTGCAGGGAGGTTGACTTGCAATTCGACCTATCTTGGAAATTTTTTTCGCATTTTTTTACTGATTTTTTCTTTTAACGAAGTGTCTCGCACTTTGACTGCTTCGCAATTCGACCATCTAGTTTGGCAACGAATGAGGGTCGAATTGCGAGGTACCATATATACACAATTAAAAACTGAACTAACCCAACAGAATAAATAAGGCATATTTTTGAGGGAAACTAATCTGTTCCTGAATGCGTTTCGTTACATGGAATTTCCTTAATGCGAAATGCAATTTCCCCTGTAAGATTGCAAAAGAGACTGATTAATTTGTTCCTGACATTCACAAGAAGACCATGATGAACCTGAATTATTGCTCATTATTCTTAGTTTACAGCGTACATTTGAGAATTTAGAATTGATCAGTGTTAATTGCAAGTAATCCTGACTAGTTCGTGATCTTCACTTTCTGAATTTCACGAACTTTAAAATCAAGAAGAGGCAAAACTACACCCTTATTTCCAAATTTTCTCGATTTCTCTTGAAGATTCAAAAGTTTAAGCCCAAAATGCAAGCGTTTTCCGAAAGAAAATTTAGCTCAATTGAAAAATGTTACGTGAGTTGCAAATTTAAAATTTTAGTTACGTGGATTTTTTATGCCTAAGTCTTCAGTTACGCAGGAACTTACAGTACTGTAAAACCGTACTACAGTCACTATCATGTCTCAGCTAACCAACATAACGTACTAGGTTTGGGCAGACGAATGCCGGAACAAAACAGAAGAGTCACATAACAGCTGTCATGAAACAACAAATCGTGTGAACATTAGGTTGTTTAACTTTAGACTGTTTGCTGGTCAAGTTTTATTTTAAGTTTCAATTTGGTCACGCAAAGTAATGCATACATTTCTGTAATTTTTGTCGATTATTTATAACAGCAGTTGAATTCATATTAAAAGTACACACGTTATCTGAAAAGCCAATCGAACCTGTAGATTCCAGAACATCCTAAGGCAGTTAGTTTGGGCACAATGTTTGCTAGGGCCCAATCAGGCCCGAATTTCAGGATAATCTGCTTCAAGATTCCTGCAGCTCTCTCCCTAACACTTGCAACCGGATCCAATAAGCACATTAGACACAGGTTCAGGATTCTTTCGTTGAAGACATCAGCGCCGAGTTGGTCCGCCAGCAACATAGTTGAGTCAATAATGGCGGCTCTTATCCGCCATTTTGTGTCCTTCACCATCTCAATTACGATCGGCAGCAGCGTGGTTTGGAAGTGGTGCGTTCCAACTGCTTCGCAGATGACGTCGATCTTCCGATATAAAAAATTTAAAAAGTTGTCTTTTTTTCGGATACACGTCGAAGAAAATCGTGAAAATCAATAACAAAAACCAAAAAGGTCATTCGCGATGGAGAACATACTCTGAATGGCATTTTTGATTAGCTGAAAAAAGCGTGGGTTCGTAGGTTCATATATACAGGTAATGTATAAAGGTGAAAAATTTCCATGGCTTTTTTTCGATTCAATCTTCTGGGGAAAGGTACAGTATTTAGATGCGCGGCGCGCGGAAAAATGACATTAGCGTTTCAATTGTTCTGCTTTAAAAAATTCACTATGAACGACTGCGTCCAGGGTAGGGCTGGGCTATGCAATTTTTTCTTTTCAACAAGAAATTCGCAGCTCGTAATTTTTTATAAGTCGATATTTTTTGTATTTCTCTCTCAAAAATTTACGAATGAATTCTTCGGGCGCATAATAATTGCTGATCAATAGGTTACCAATATTTTCGCAGTATCTCTTATGTATTTTAAACCGTTAAAAAGAACTGACTCCGTACAACTGCATTTCTCTTTTTTTCTCGGCACAATGCTGCTAATGTACCGGTCTTTTTTCTGCGGACATTTCTAAGCAATTTCGAGCCTCCTTGAAAATGTTTTCTCGTCGTGATTGACTTGACTTTTTTTACCAGCGAGGCTAGCATTTAATTTTGAAATTTACCGATTGATTTGGGGAAATTTTGGTACATCACGAACCTAATGCAAGACTACTGGCAGGTGAAATATAACTAAGAACGGGTTCTTGTTCGAGACTTCGGTGCTTTTCCTCGCAAGAAAAGTCGTACTCATTTATTTTTACATATCCTAAGCACTCAAAATAAATGCTATCCATATCATGAAGTTACCTCAGTTAAATCGCCTCAAAAATGTTTTAATTGATGCTCCCATTCCACGAAAAAAGCCAAATAAGAACCTTGGAAACGATGTTCAGCCGGACATCCGAATTCGTTTCGCACAGCAACTGCATCCGCAAAATCGGCAACATGTGATTCGCCATGAATTCTTTCCCGAGCAAAGTCAACATTCCCAGAATCACATTCGACAACGCACCCGTCACGTGATCACTGTTATCTTCTGCCAACAAAACTATCCCGGGAAGGAACTTGTTCAGCATCAGATCCTCTCGGCTCGCGGCAGGAAGTGCCTCACAGCACTCCGTCACTTGACTCGCAGCAGCGAGCCTCACTTCGACACAATTGTCACGCATCAGCACGCAAAACTGCGACACGAGATTCGCGACGGATTCCTGGCTTTCAACGACGGTTATGAGCGAAGGCAAGATTTCGGAAAGTCTGCAGCGGACACCGAAAGAAGAATCCACAGCCAGTTCGGAAACGTACTGAAGCAACTCCGCTTCACTCATGACACAGCTGCTGATAAGCAGGCTGGCAATAACCTTGAACGACTCCATGGATTCGATTCGGACCTGCACTAAGTCAAAAATGACTTTTCATTTGACCGAGTCTATTAGGTTATCGTATATGCAGATGAAAACGAGACACTCACCTTTTCGTGATCGTCCTTCAGGAGGATTTTCAATGAATACAGGGCATCCGAGATCACCAAGCTGAGCTCCAAACACTGTGCAAAAGTGCCCAGCTGTTTCGCGGCTTCGCAACGCACTGGTATACAATTATCGCGACACAGTTGTTTCATCATTTTGCGCAATTCAATTCTGCTTTCTTCTGCTGTCACAGATTTGTAAGGTACCGGGATGAGATTACAAGCAGCAGCACGGAGGGCTGATGAGTCCTCACTCGCAGCCAGGCGAAGAACGAGAGGAACAAACTCATCTTGTAATTGATCATGTGTGTGCTTCGCAGCCAGTATTTTCAGAGACTGTTGGGGGGGGGAAAGGATAAAATCACGATTAAGGGAATACTGTATTGGAAAAAAGATAAAATCGTTATAAAGGGAATATCACTTCTACATATGTGCATCTCAATCTCTGATGTCCATCCGTAATTCAGCTTTCATAGTCTCAACGATTGCGTGACAGGCCTAGTTTTGATCATCACAGGTTATGTTGACAAAGGTTGGATTATTTCATGAATCAGGCATTTCAAGGGTTAACCCAGCAAAAAAATGCATAACATAGGCATACATAACACACAAGCGTAAATTCACACGTATGTGTATAAGGTGTTAAGTTATGTTATGTTTGGAGCGTTATCAAGAATATGGCAAAAACTGTTGCATGCAGAAAATGTGCTGCGCACATGATATGGGAAGGCCTACATAGTATTCTTGCCTTCACCTCATTCCTCTAGAGAAACTTTTCCCACAACTCCAATTTCTGTCCATTGAAATTCAAATTTTAATTCGCAACACATATAGATGTCGCTGCAACTGAATTGCCAATCTGGACGGATCAAGTCATCAAGTTCAGATAATTTAATCCTACCACAATGTTGAAGACACGCACAGTTTTGTTCACATAGCTTCTGTTTGTCATTCTGAAACAAGTCAAACATCTATACTGTACTTTCCCATAGCTTCAGTCAAATTAAACAAAGCAAGATTAATTTATTTCTGCATATTGTACACATTTTTAAATTGCACACTATACAGGTAGAAGGATGGACTCTCTATGGCAATCTCGCCTATGATTTTCTCTGTATAACGAATTTTCACTTGGTCCCATAAAGTTTCGACTTATACCTATTCGAACGGATTCTCATCTACAACGAATTTTTTGGTCTCCTGAATTTCGTAGTAGAGATATTCCCCATGTAAAATGGCCAGCTGATCATCCCTATACCTGAGCAGCTTTATTCCTCACGACCTCTTCCTCACACCCGCAAATATTTTCGAGAACCGGAAGGAGACAAGTGACGTGATCCTGTCCCCCAATGAGATCAAAGAAGGATGGTATTTCTTCCGCAAGCGTGAACATGACCTCATCGTCATCGTACAGGCTCGTCGCAAAAAATGGCACAAGCTCAGAGCGTGTTCTTTCCGGTCCCAACGCGACAGCAAAACAAGAAATACTCTTCATCGTCCGAACACGGTCATTGGCATCTTCTTGACGAAGCTCGTTTATCAGCACCAACATCGGATCCGTCGTTTCATCCACTTGAAAGACGTAATTTTTGGGACAGAAGACATCAAATTTCATGTGCGAGCGGGGTCTGATTTCCGCGCGCAGTTCAAGAAAAAAAAGGCGAAGTGTTGAACGTCAACATCATACAGCATCTTACAGTATTAATGTCAAATCGAATTTCGCTTCACATTCTCCACCGTATTGATTTAATTTTTTCAACTCCTCTGGTCAAAGAATTGAAAGCTTTCAACAATTGCGGTGTCGAGAAAACTTTGAATTGTCTTATCTCTCTGGATACCCTTCGAAATAAATACTGTACGCTCATCTTACAAATAACCTTTCACATTTATAGTAGCCTGAGTGATGGAGACGGTTCTAGTTGAGACACTTATTTGCGCAGACCTTACACGAAATTTTCGAAGATCAAAAGGCTTTCGATTTATATGAAATCAGGCATGAATAAATCAGAACTGAATTGAACACCATATGATAGCGAATTATAATCTAAAAAAAAATTCGACACGCAAGGAATCCAAATAATAATTAAAAATCTGAACAGTCCCAATTTTGCTCAAAATTCGGCGGAGCAAATATATGACTAAGCACAGCTAGAAATACTGTAAATGCAGGCGCGTGTAAGAAAATCCATGAATACTCACTCGCCCAAATCAGATGACGCAGCCCACAAGACGCAGACAAAGTAGAACACTCAAGATAACCTCATTTGTCCCAAAAACTGCAACAAAGCCAACATATTTTGGTGATCAGAAAAGTTCGGGACGCTTTTCAGAAAAAATTATTAAAAACGCATGACATCCTCACGCTTTTCCGACATCGCTCAATTCCATCCCAAGCTGTGTTCTCTCTCTCTTCCTCGTAATAAATTTCGCAAGGATGATTAACACGCTGCAAACAGTTCATAGTTCGGAAAGCATCAATCCCGGAAAACTGAACCACGACACCGCCAGCAGTTCTACAAACTCAAATCACGAGCACAGAAACAAAAAGAAGGAGAACGCCGTAGTCTGCTAAATTTTATGCATGCAGAAACAAACGTGGCCCGAGCTATAACGTCGAAGTAAAATGCTCAGACTAAAAACCGTGGCCTAAGTATCCAACAACAAAAAACATCCAGCAGAAAGAAAACAACCCGATGGCTGGCTTCTCATCAGCACAAAAGGTTGCATAAACAATTGGTCCAGCATGATGCCTCGTACTGTCCTATGCGGTGATAATGTGACAGGAAAATGGCTGCGCCCAACAGCAGCGGTTTTGATCGGAACTCAGTCGGATAAGTGAATAGAATCCTAGTCGATAACTCGTACTCGTTCGTGTCTGAACAGAGATTCCCGCGACGTTGAATTCCTGGCGGTATAGCCACGAATTTAATCTTGAATCTGAAAATAAACAGACGAACCAATTCAGTGCTTCAACTTTCGTAATTAACAATTTTCGATCTATAATTTGCGTCGCGATTTTTGGATCAGTTTAAAATAGACCTGAAATATGTACTACGAATTTGTAGTAAAAATTGTAATCAATGCGCGAAGTCGTTGATTTGAACAGCAGTAGAGAAGAGGAAGATGTACACGTTTCTGATGTAACGTCAAGAAAAATTTTCGCGTTGAACTGAAATTCATTTACTCTCTTGTAAGCAGCATTTCGAATAACTTTTTTTTTTTCAGGGCGGCTTTGTCGCGATCAGGAATGAGTAAAAGTTCGGGGGGATGACGATTGGGTCGAGAAGATTTTGACCACACAAACACCCAAAATCACCCAAAATATACCTAATTATTTTGCAATCCAATAAGGGAAGGTACCTACCCGTCACCAGCGTTGTTCTTCCATATATGAGCCTGGGCAAGTCCGTATTCATCCACAACAGTAAACGAAGGCATTCTGCCGAAACCAAATCGTCTTTTGATCCTCCCCAACAATTGCAGTTGAGCCTTTCCACACTGTCCATCCTTGGCCAAATATATATTTGCCTCCGAGCCTCCAGGAATAATCCGACGAAGCCCAGGAGGCAAAAACTTGCATGGCTTATGCACCTCTAGCAGCGGCTGAAAAAAAACGATAACACAATTTCACATGTGGAATTCAAGAATCATCACAACTCTCGATTTCTCTAATGGAGTCAATTTCCCACGGATGCCTTCCAGTTAATATATATTTCCTCTAAAATAAGATCGTTCTTTCAAAATGATTAAGGGCTCGATCTGTAATGTGCAGACAAATGTAGGGCTTGTTGATGTATTTACAGATGATGTTTTAACAATCACGCTTACTCGGATGCCAGGAGGATAGCATAGAACATTTGGGTCAAACTTTCAAACCTGCTGAATTGCAACAACACACCCCCTTACTCAGAGAATCCCTCTTCATTTAAATTCAAGCGGCAAAAGTTGATTTGAGATATTAAATTAATTAATTAACGTAGGGGAGTCTGAGGCTTCAATTGTGACAAGTAAGTAAAATTTGCAGCTGGATAACGAGGTCATAATGAATTAAATAATTACAATCCCGCGCCTGTCCAACACGCGCATTCGATAACCCGCAGTGCAAGTGCCCAGTGCAAATGTAGACAAGCACTTCAGTTTCCTCGTGACGTAAAAAAGTGGCTTGTGAGAAGTATCCGGAAGTTCGTCAAGCTTGGGTTTTGATACATCACTAGTGGAATCCCCGGGGCAGCGAAACGTGAGCTTGTACAAAAATTTGTCCCGGAGTGAAGTGGATTCTTTGTGCAGAACGCCGATGCTTCGAAGGTAGTCCAATTCCTCCGATTCGTCTTCCTCGCCGACTCGCTTGAGTTCCACGCACGTCAGGTGATCCAACGTTTCAAGATCTAAAAATCAAAATATTTGGATACTGAGGAGTTTATAAATGATCATGATCCGGGGGTTCTATGTTTAGTTTTTCGACTTTTATTGGGAACAGCAGAAATTCTTTGAAAAATTTCTCAAGTTTTTCAAACTTTATTTTCAGTTTACATCCTTTGCTTCATTTAACTTTACCTTGAAACAAAGCATATTGAACACGTTAGCTTTGTTCAACGTATACGATGTTATATAGATTTTATTGCGTTCTCCAGGTCGATAAACCCAGAACACTCAGAATGATTTAATCTTCCTTTAATTTTTTCGTATGATATGGTAGAGCTGTGAACTGAGGCTGCCACAGTGAATTAAAGAATCCTGTCTCATAACTTCCGCTCATCGTTTGTGTACTGCAAAAATATGATTGTGGCCAATGATTTCAGGGTAAAAATGAAAAATAAGATGCCGTAATAATCCTTTCCTTCGGGCATTGTTCGCAGGTTTAGCGGAATTAGGTTTCATGATGCCCACAAAAATTCCGAACACAAGAAAAGGAAGTACGATGAATGAATGCTTTATTCTCCATATTTGGGTAATAATTGTCGTATTCTGACTTGAAAATACTGCGAATACTTGAAAATACTGAAATTCACCGCGTAGGAAATACAAATTTTAAAATATTGACTTACTAAGAGCTTCGGTAGACTGCTTTATTCAAACGATATCTTCCACGTGTAATTTAAGATAATTTTTTTCTCGAAATCCCATTTCTGAATTGTATGATAAAACATGCTATACAGTACAGTATTCTCACCCGGAACACGCTCAGGTTTCTTGTCCTTTTCAGCAACCAAAGTTTCTCCGACTCCATCACCCAATGAAAGCGGTTTTCCTTTTCTTTCAGAATCGCCCGCTTTAGAGATGATTACGTCGGGTACAACTTCCCCTCCTCCAGATTTCTCTCCTCCGCCGATTCGCATAGTATCTGATTCGTGGAAAGGCTCACGGGGCGGCATTCCGACGACACGTTTATAACTTCCGCTGTCAGACGAACGACGTTCTTGATATTGCAGCAAACTCCTGGCTTCCGCTTTTTCCATGTCCCTCGCTTCGAAAACACCATCGCCGAGCTCCTCGTCGTCGTCTTCATCGTCCGGAAGTAAATGAGTTTCAACCCTTCCAAGTTCATCTCTCGGGATCGGTGTCGAACATGAAAAATTTGGTGGATCTGTGTAAACCGTAAGAAAATAAATTATTTCTCTTGAATGCATCATTCGTTCATCCCACTCATTTACTGGTAGAGCAGCTCAGGTAATTTACGAGTAGAAAATTAAAAAATTTAAAAATAATTTAATTAAACTAATTGAATCAATTAAATTAAGTAATTCAATAAATTCCATTCAATTTTTTTATTCAAATGCATGCAGTCAAATTTGAAAATTGAAGATTCGATTGCAGGCGAACTTGAAAACGTAGAAAAAATATCGAAGAAACTGACAGCAATACGAAAAATGCTTTTTTGAGGAAACCGATTTCCGTGTTCAGAACAATATGTTATGGTGCAGGTATAGACGTCACTAGCAGTCTTCTGTGCGTTGTGCCTTTCAATTTTAGTCATTCCATCTGATCCTGGTATTCCTAGATCATGTTTACATTATATGAGTTTTTCGGAATTAAAATTGGCTGTTCACCACCTGAGCAGTGCTTTTATTCTTTATTTTTTTAGAACTTGAAACATTGTTAATTCCATCTGCATGATATTGCAAGTGTTATACTGCATCTGGGAATGCAAATCTTCCATTCATCTCGGTTAGTTTGATTGAACACACAGTACAGTAATTTGGTACGTACTGCATCTCTTAATTTTCGATTGGCTCCATCTTTTTGATGAAAACCGTTATGTCAAAGCTTTCCCCAATTAAATTCAATTCGAAGTGGTCCAATGCAGCAATCTTTTTGAGGACACACACCTTTTGTGGAAACTTCCCAGGCCAACTACAATACTGTACCCCCTATACGTCCCTATACCTTCTACTGTACATTGAATTCTTCTTTCATCAAACATGGGGACTTCGGATAAAAATTGATGCACTAAATAACTATCTACAGCAAGATTTTCAAAATTAATGCCTCGAAACGCTGTTGCAAATTAGACCTGTACATGTTTTGTAGCTAACAAGATTGTCTTAAAATGTACAATACTCAACATATAGGCTTTCTACCAGCAATTGCAAAAATATTCTGTTATACTGTACAGTACTGAAAATTTTTTTATTGCAACAAGATTTGTCGCAATGAGGTTTTACTGTAAAGATTACAGCAAACGTATATGCATACGACCGCATTTGAATTCCTGAAATTTTTGATCTCCTGAGACCCACACAGTTCTCAACCTGACCATTCTTCCGCGTCATAATCGTCAAATGCTGAGCGCATCCCTCTAGTATAAACCCGTTCTAGAAACGCTTGATGACTCAGGAGGTCAGGGGTCAGGAATAATTATTATAGCTAATCATATTTCATCTACCCAAGAAATCAAGTGTCCCTCCAAGGTTCAAACCCCAAAAAGTTGACAGCTAGGAAGCAGAAGCTGTCCAAAAAAGGAAAAAAGATTGAATGCTCGCCTTTCATTAACGCGTAAAATCTTGCTTCTTTCGCGCCCCGAGGAACGGTATCACGACGAGACAAGTAGAGAGCATTCCGTCGATCCCGGCTAACCCGCAACAATTGATCGTCTGGCAAATCGCGCAGCGGAATATTCCGAATCGAACGACCGATATAATTGCCACGAGGACGAACAATAGCAGCGAGATACCCGTCAGCATTAGCTGCAGCCCAACGAAGATCTGTGAATTCAGCGCGGTGTTGGGCAATCAAGTAATGAAATCTTCAACAGACGTTTGATTCACTCATCCCCGCGCGTATTGGTATTCAATTGCGTAAATTCAGAGATTTAAAATTGTCAGGATCGGGACATCTTCGCGACAGAGTGACAATACTGCACGTGGAAACTCGTTTGGTTTCTGACCATAGATGAGGTTAGATTGAGCATAGGTTATGCTAATGTATGTTAGGCTAAAGTAGCTTCTGTAGCATGCAAGTCGCCATCCATTTTCTCCTAGGTGAAGATCCACGAAGATGAACAAAAATGCAATTCAAGTGCTATCAAATGTTTTGGAAAACTTGAAAAAAAAAATTTCGATTATGGTACAGGTGGACTGTCCCTACAACGACAATTTTCTCTGAATAACGATGTTTTGGTCCCATGCTGATTCTTTCCCCATTTTTTGGGGTTCTTCACAACAAAATTCTCTCTACAGCGAATTTTTATGGTCCCTCGAATTCCGTCGCAGAAAGAGTCCACTTCTATCTCAGATGAGTCAGACCTGACAACCACATTCAAATGGAGAGTTTTCTCTATACTATGCCAGGAATTTTTGCTTTCTATTCTGAATCGATATAGACGAGGAACGAGTCGCGCAATCAAGTCAAGCATGCAATTTTTATACAATTCTACTGAAAAATTAACTAAAAGTTGCCTGAACTCTCATCACATTAATTGCGCGATGATTTTACGGGGGAATTCCGAATTCATAATTATACGCCAGCAAGTTATACATTCCGAGGTTCTGTCAAACATTTCTTACAATATTCCAGTTTACGTCCTTTTGCACCACCCACTGGTATTCGAAAAGGTCGTATCAAATACTGTACAACAAATATTAATTTTCCACCAAAAAAAAACACCAACCGTTTGTTTCACTGACAGCATTCCTCTTATTCCCGCCACTCGTCGCAAAGCCTGGATTCTTGTTATTCATCGACTTGACACGCTTCTCTTCAACATCTCGTCGCTGATCCTTCTCGTTCTCCACACCTCTCACGTCTTCATCCCCATAACGTGCCAAATCGGAATGTCGTTTCGTCGAATCCGCCCTTTCCGATAAGTTGATTTGCTTCAGGTCTTGGCGGCTCATTCCGTCATTATTCGTAGAAACAGATTGCATAGCTTCAACTGTGACGACGGGAGACGAAACACGGCGAGGCGTTGATCTGGGTTCTCTGCTGGCGGCAATCACGCGACGGAAATCGCCATTCGTCAGCCTCGTTCCAGCATTCACTGCGTATACATACGGACTCTGCGCCTGCTATTGCAATAATGGAGAAAAATAAGCCAGCTGAAGTGCTGAAATTCAGCTTCTCGGAAAAGGAAACCGAACCAGCCGGCACAAAATACGTTAGAAGCGGTGCACAATGAACAGTCTGCAATCCGTTTTCGCACGCATATAATAAAAGGGAAATGTGGGTTTCAAGCTTTATATCGCTTTCTGAAAGACGGCTGCTGACTTTTGTTCGCTGGCCAGATCAACAATGACCAAATAGAAATAACCGAACTCAAATGGAATCATGAGAAGTGCAGGCGTTAAAAAGCAATATTAACAGCAAGGGAAGATCATAGAGTACTCGGATCAATCTTCGTTATTCAATCGAAAATAATAAAAACTTTTCGTGCGTAACGAGTATTATACTATATTTCGAGTAGAGGTGATTTTACCCCGCTCATAGAATAATCACATCGCGCTAATGCGTGTGTTTCAGACATTTTTAATTAATTTATTCCTAAAAAATCTCAATAATATCAATAAATATGGATTTTGTCTGAAAGAAAAACAATTGCAGCTTTCCTCCAGCATCACCATCAGCAAAAATATTTTGTACACTAAAACAACGGCACAGATTAAGGTACATGAGTGCTTGCTCCTGCTCACTGATCACAAACGTGTCGACTATTCGACACAGATCCGCCGCAATCGTAACTGCAGCAGCTTGGCACCAAGAAAATATTCGATATAGGAGACGAGACTGTTCCGCTGTCGCACACGAATGGGAACAGCTGTGACGGAACCAATCAGAACTCTGTTACCAGGTAAATCATCCGTTTCTTCGAGAAAATTCTAGGACAGAGATCTGCTTATAACCATGGTAAAATATAATTTAAAAATGTTCTTCTCAATGTTCTGCATGTCATTTTATCATATGTATTATTTTTCTAAATGTCCTGGACCACTTGAACGCGTATTTCTTAGCTCTCTTTCGACCCAGAAATTGACTCGCATCGCACGTCATTTCAGCAGTTTTTTCCTTCACCTGATAGATATAATAATACACATAAAATTTTTTAAAAGCATTCGCAAAAATATTGTTCATTCATGAACATCAACATGGAGAAGATTTCAGTAAATTATACAGACAGTGCAGTTGAACTGAGATCTCGCAAAAAGTTGTAGAATGCAAAAACCCGTTTCTGCGCAGAAATCACGCTCTGCTATTAAGTGATACACTGATCACAGGTGTTCATTTTTTTTTAGCATGAATTGAAAGCCATAGTAGATTCGGGAATCACTCGTGAATTTTTGAATACGGTACACAAATTTCTTCAACACTTGCTGATTGGATTGACATATTTAAACAAAATCTTAAAAGGTTCACACCAAATTCAACACCCATTCTCTGACGCAATAGTTATTTTATTTCATTATTTTAAAAATCGGGTAGATAGAAAATAAATTTTAGAAGTAAGAGAAACAGGAGATCATCCACCCAATATTTTCCGGGATGATCTAATCCTCAAACTTCAACCGCTGTAAATAACTCTAATATCTAACTAAAATGCTCGCGGGAAAATCAGAAATCGTAATCTTCTTAACGGAGTTCCAGAATTTAAAAATGCTGCTTCTCACTCAAAACCATGGCTTCACTCTCATTTGATGTCGGAAATCTTCACGAAATCCCGCGATCCTTCGACTCTGCCACCTCAAAATCCATGCAAACAACACACGCGGAATACGTTACAACAGACTCTGGAATTTCACATCTGACGGCCTTCTCTATAACCTGAGTCACACGATTGGTCCTCTCTCTCTCGTCAGCAATCGACATCTCTCCCTTCGATCCCATTTTCGCCTGTTCTTTCCTTTATCCGAGAATCAACGTAATGCCGACAGATGTCGTTGGGAATTGCCACTAACATTAGGGTATACAACTTCAGACCGATATTGGAGAAAACAACCGCCTTGACTCACTTTAAAATGAACAAGAGCGCAATGAACCCTTCCCTGTTCGACAGCCATAAAAAAATATGCGCACAATCGGGGAACTATTAGGAGTTTTAGGACTAGCCCGTAGGAATACATAATCATATATTTCTTTTCAACATCTATCGACACTTATTGTTTCAAATGGCTCGATATGTTCAGCATGCTTCCAAGAATGAAGTGATTTCATTATTAAGGTTCGCTCGTTGAGGGTTCGCTTCAATTTTGTCATTATCACACGCCACACGAATGACTTAATTCGTCCGACTTGAGTTTCACTCGTCCGAAGTGCGGAGCGACGAAAGACAAAAGGTGATCAACATAAAAGGCATCACAACATAAATTCATAAAACTAACCAATTCAAGTTCGTATATCCCTTCGGATTCGTCCATATCCACCGTACTGTTGCGGACGGCGTCGAAATGTCGATGATGAAGCTTGGCCCAGTGTCGTACCCGAGTGATGGAGCTGGTGTTGCTCCCAGTCGCCGACGACGTTTCCGTCAGTTGCCGCGACGAATCAGCCACGTAAACCCCACTGTCGTCGTCGTCATAGCACATCACTCGCTGTCGAACGCGTCGGCATTCGGCAGTAAGCACTGACGAGGATGACGGCATCGACGGCGCCGATGTGACGGCCGTTTCCGAAGGAATCATGGTTTCATCAGGTCCGCGATAGCGCAGGTGATAATTTTCACGAGCTGAAAAATATCAGGCAGTTGTACACGAGAGGTGACCCACCGAAAAATCCACGCGCGTCATACAAACGTGACATCTACCGGCAAAATGAATCCCCTATAGTTTAAACCCTCTTCTCCACGTTCACATAAATTAAACGCATTAATTTCACCGAGAATACGTGATGCATAGCACTGTATTTTTTACATGAAACTGAGGACACTAAACAAGCGCTTTTTGAAACTTTCAAAAAAGGGTCATTTTCTGTTGGTTCTCAAAAATTCTGAAGTGTAAGAACAACGAACACAGGATCAAAAGCGAAAACGTTCCAAATGGAGCGTGCGATTGAAATTGTAAAATTCCCGACGATAACAAGTCAAGAAAGTGGAGTCAGAGGGACCTGTTGGCAATAATTAAGCTCCGAACGAAAACATAATAAAGATCTGTGATTGAATCCATGCACTATCTTCGCACTATCAATAGTTTCCCAGATGTTCTCTCGTATTCAACTCCAAGAGTATTGATTATCTACAAATCTTCCGGATGTCGTTACACTCGTCAAAAGACAACAGCAGACGTAAGCGATTTACAACGGAATATACAGAACCGCACACCACAGATTGAAACACAATAATCGGAACAATCCTATATGATAAACTCGACCTAGCCGTAAATCAAAACGCGCCCGAATACCAGAAACAAAAAATATATAATGCTAAGAAAAAAACCGAAGCATAATTCATACGCTTCCCGTGGACATCACGTTGTGCCGAAACAGCCGGGTCGACATCGCAAGCAAACGTTTTCCTTGGACGAGGCACAGGATGCAATTCCGCCGATTCGGATATTTTCTTCCTTGATCCCCGAGTCGGAGGCTCAGCAAATCCCGCTCGATCCATATTTACAGTTGTCACGTAATCACTTCTGATAAGCGTCGATACGGATGATGAAAATACTGCGGCTGCGCAAGGGTTACTGAAGACACGATCAATTTTTTTCTTCTCTGCGGTTTCTGACTCACTAAAGAATTATGGAGATCTTTCTCCATGACGCTACACGGCACACGAAGATAGATTATCGTGAACCACTCGAGGGTTCCAGCACGAGAAGTGAAGAAAACATCGAGAGGGGCACCCACGAAAGGAGCAAGCAACAAAGAAATATTTTTGGACCGAGATGAATACTTTTATCTAATGAGTCCAAGCCTCGCTTAAATTTGCAATCAAAAAGCCAAGGTACCTTTCCGGAATAATAAAATCCTCATGAACATTTACGCTATTAAAATGGGGCGTATGTACGTGAGTTGTGAAGAGAATACTTCGGCTTCGCAAGATGAATTAACCGAGGTACCCAGGCGGATTGAGTAATTCGAGATTAAACCTTCGATATGATCTTGCACTGCGGACAACGCGGATTGATTTAGCTTCTTCAAGCCTGGAGTATCAACTGCCTCTTCCTGATGATTCATTTGCTTTTGCATCGGATCGTCCGGACAGTGGTGCCAGATAAGTGTACTGTATACAATACATAGGTGTCGAACCGGTGGCCAGATTTCTCTTACCAACTGTATCGCCATGGTGGTAGCCATTTCAAATATTTACGAGCAATTGCATCCATCATATCTAGGAGGAAACCCAGATTAAATTTCTTTCGAATTCCCTACAACAGAATGACCGGATTCGATGCCTTGTGGTCGTCTATGGAAAGTCGCTTCACAAGCCATCTCGAGAATTATCAAGCTTCACCTAGATGTCGTTAAAAACTGCGATCCCTTCACAACATTGTCAGCGGTAAGTACTAGGTTCGAATACGTGCAATCAAGAAATATGGCCACGCTCTGTAGCATGCAATGAACTGGTAAGGAAATAGTGTTGGGTCAGGCGTGACCAAGTTGACCGTGAAATTCTGAATGGTGTCTGCTCTTCCGGTACGCGGCCTGTTCGAGTGTTACGGAGGTGTCGTGTGTTTCAGTTTATGGATTTAAGGAACGTTGTTTGGCGTTGATCTACTCATCATAGAACGTGGAAAGTTGTGTTGATTTAGATGCGCTGTCAGGGAAATATTCTTTGTGGTGCATCCTGCGGACATCGCAACTGATAATTCTTGCGATACACGTTTTGGCATTCGTTCATCTCAGAATTTAACGGTTTACAGAAATCGAGAATTCAATCTGTATCGAAGGCTTGTCGTTTTTGTTTTAACGATGTTTTTGTGATCGAGACTATGCAATATCTGGCTGTCCTTTGACTAACGAAAGGGTGAGTTCATTTTGTATTACGACTGCTAGCCAAATTTCCGGAAGATGATATCGTTTACGCAAGTTCCCACAAATAGTATGGAGAGCTCGTGTAAAATCATCGCTCGTGCTCAGTTTAAAATTGATGCCTCTACTCGAGTTCTGATAAAACTTAGTTTTCCGAGAAAAATGAAAAGTTGATTTCCCTAACTATTCGAATGGTGTTCGATATCGTTTTTTCCATCTGAAAGCTTTCTCCCATGCGTCATTTATTGCTTTGGCACGTGTTCACCTGACCGTAATGTCCTTTACTCAGGAGAAGCACACGAAGGTGATGGGGAAGGATGGAGCTGGTGATTCCGAAAACCGCGGTCAAGACTCCTCTAACGTGAGTGTGTTTTATATAAACAAGTTTTAGTATTCAGACTTCTCACATGCCGGCATGTTCAGGAAAAGCTCAATGGTGCTAGTGGCAAATCTCTGATTGCTCCGCCGCCTACACAAATCACCAAAGTCAAATCAACCAGCCCGTTCGTCAAGAAAGAAAAGCGCCAAAACTCGTCTCGCTTCAATACATCAGAACACTACGAGCTGCAGAAGTTGCCTTCCATGAAAGGTGGGACAAGTTTCTTACGACGTATTTTTCATTATTTTTTCCTTTGAGGCCTGAATTTTAAGTTGCCCTATGTTCCCGTGTTCCACCTGCAAATACACTACTGTATATCGGAAGTATGGGATTCATGATGAACTAATGCCTCCTTTCGAAATTATAATTTTACCGAGTATCTCGTGAAGAATCGAAATTCACTTGGGGAATACATATTAGCCTCCAGAAACTCTTCAGTGTATCAATGGGTTTCCTCAGCAGTCCGATTTGTATGCAGTTCAGTCTCACAATACTAACAGAGAAATGATTCAGTACGAGAATGCCTTAAATTATGGTGCCAAAGAAGTAGGATTCAATCGATGCACCCGAAGTTCTGAGCCAGTTTTTTTTTAATTGTCTTCTATAAGGCTACATTTTATTATAGTACAGTACTCGGATTCCTCCCATTCGAAGTTCAACCCCAGAAGCCGTTCGGAGGGATGATCTAGAAAAGAGCTTGATTTGATCTCAGTTGTGTTATGTGGCTGAAAAAAATTAGAGATTTGCTATTTTTAATTATGTCCTGGAAATTTGTTCATGTCATCTCGTTGAATCTGAAACTTTTCAAGAGTTTGGAATCCGAACTACTGTTTATCCCTCAGCTTTCTTAAGGGAAGAATCAATAATATTCAAGGATTTTCGCTCTCGAACGCATGGGGCTGCATCTTTCGTAATTTTCGTGATAAATTGTATTAGCTGTGTAACATAATGGGTTCACCGTGTTGGAAACGAGCGACTATTTTTATTTTAAAGTAAATTTTAAATTCTTGAATGAGGCGAATAATAGTGTTGGGAATAAACCTGATTGAATTCCGAATTGAAATGATGTACTGTAATACCTTATGATCAGCTTAGTAAATATTAGCACGCGAAACCCTGGTTGATTAATCCGGGCGCGCGTGGAAATCGTATCCGCAAAGGAAGGGAGAAAAATTGGGGGTAATCCCCCCGAAACCCGCTGAAGAAGGGCCGTGAATGAATCAGGTCCTTGAGGATGTCACTGGGGTTCGAGGGGAAAGATTTTTGTTCCCCTTTTTTCGGGGGGAACCTTCGAGGACTTCGGCCGACGGGGAAGTAATACCTGGTTGCCATGGTTTCCTGGCGTGCTACGGTTGGAACGTGCGTCATGTGATGAAGGCTGTCTGGCTTTTGCGCTGCTTTTCACTGTGATCAGTCGGCAGCGATTGACGCGTTTCATGCATTACTCTCTCGACTGGATTATTCGTTTTACATCAAATGTAATTTCGGGAGCCGCTACGTTTAGTGGTTTGATGTGACAGATATGTGCCAAGCGTTACTCAGATTATTCCTGAATTTTTCTCGTTTTTTTTAACGTCCCGAAGCATTTCTCTGAAATGCACTATACGATATTCTCAAAATTCCTTTGTGAAAAACGTTTTTATGAACTGTATTGTTGTCACGTCCTTGCATGATTGACATTCATTTTACGCTTTCTCTCGTTGATTGTTTCGCTGATCAAACGTTGAATTTCTCTACATTTTTGAAGGCCAATGGTAAAAGTCCGTCCCAGAAATTTCCCCAAAAAAATTAAATTGTTTTGTCTTGTGTCCCTGAGTTTCGGGGAAAGTTCACTTTTTCATCTTGTCAATTTGAATGAGTTGAAATTTTAGAAGAAAATCTAGCTGCTGGTTCAGTCTTCAAGCGTATTTTGCGTGGAACTCGGTACGATTTCCGAACATCCTTACGAGGATTTTTTAGGTATCTTTCAGCGAAAGTCTAAACTCCCTCGACTCACACACATTTTCCATGTGGAGTATTTTGAGAATTCCGTCAAGGATCACTTAAATTACAATTTTAGGTCGCAATTGCTGTCGTTGATCACAGTGGGCATTCAGTACTGTACTTCATTAAATGAAAATTTAATTTCTGAAATCCAAGTGTATGTTGTTTAAAAATACTGTGTTGTGGGAAAGGTTTGATGCATCAATCGGATGTGAGTGAACTTTTACATGTGATATTACATGTAGCTGATAGAAAAGGCTTTCGAGTCAGCTTTCTTAAAAGCGTATAATGCACTGGTTGAAGTGTATCGCGAAACTTACCGTACGGCGGAACGGATCGTCATACATCAAATGCTTTGTTTGAAATTACCCATTTGTAAAATCGTTCTGTCATTGTCAATCGTTTTTGAAGCCCGATTTTTGCAACAACTGAGTGATAGAACCTGGCTTTTTAGGACTAAAATAATGTTGTAAATTTTGACATTACTGATTCCTCATGAGGTACAGAACACGTTGAGTTATCCTGTTGTGGACACTGTTCAAGTGAAATTTTCGGTACTGCAGTGTTTTCTCCAAAAAATCTTGCACAGTGTGTAATTCCGTATGCTAAATTGCTATATCTTTTAAACTTCCTGAGTGTATGTTATAACTTTTGAACGCATTGAACATGTTTTAATTGACTGAATGTTTCAATTTTTCGGGAATATTAAAATGGATGCTGTTTCGGAAAGTCTGGTACTGTACCACTAAAACGATTACAAAGGTTGACTGAGGTGAAATGGTTCAGGCGATCTTCAAGTACTGTACATCGTAATAAAGTATTGTTTTTGAAATTGCAAGTCATGAAATGTCTCTCGATGCAAAGCATTTGTTGAAATTGACTGAAAGAAGTGACATTGATGGGCCTTATGAGAATGGATGCAATTTTTCGTGGTGGTAGTAGTAGTAGGAGGATAAAAGGAAAAGCTCGCCTTTTGGTGGAGGAAATCTTTTGTATCCGTTGTTTCGTTTGTTCCCTTTTTTTTCCTTTTGACTGAATGTTCGACAGCATGAAAGCTTCGAGCTGTTCGCTGTGAAAAAAAGAAGAAATAGGCAGTGGCGAAGATCAGTATTGAGTGTCGTATAGAAGAGGAGGGTCTGGTGAAAAAGATAAGATCCGAAATTTCCGGGGTGTTCCTGTGAGATTTTAAAAAAAAAAACGGAAGAAAAGAGTTGCGTGATCGCCGCGAGTCGCTGCGAAAATAGTGCCGACGTACCTGACGAACATTTTGGCGAGGAATCGCCGCCTGCAGGATGCAACGTTCCTGGAGCGAGTGATTAGCGGGACGTGGGGATTGGGGATGAAAGGCGGGATGGCGCCGACGGCGACTATGTCAGTGGCGGGCAATGGCGGCGGCGCCAAGCCGCGCCCGGGCGCCGCGGACGCGCCGCCCAGCGTCGGTGCGTTTCTGAGTCTGTACGAGGTCGACCAGCCCAAGTTTTCAGGTACATTGTATTTATTTTTTCCCTTCCCCCTCCCCCTCTGGCATCCCATCGTAGTCGTCAGTGTTGCGTGTTTTGCATTTGTCTCTCGGTTTCTTTTAACACACCCCCACTCCCCCTTTTTTTGCAAGATGTGTGCTTGTGTTCGATTGGAGGTGTGGAAAATGAGCTAGGTTTTGAGACGTTGTTGGGAATGAACTTCTGTTCAAGTGCGTTGAAAGAATACTTTTCGAATTATTTTTTTAAACCAGGCATGTGAGAAATTACATTTTACGTTCAAAAGTTTTTAAAGTGAACTGTTCATTTGAAAATTTTCGAGTTTATTACAATTTTCTTATGTAGTTTTTACGCTTTTTTCGCATGTAATTGTTTCATCGTCCACTCAACTCGCGTTTGATACACATAGTTTTGCATTGTCATGGATATTCGTGTTCCTGTGAGATTTTTAAAAAACCGAAAGCAAAGACGATGTTTGAGCAATGTTTGAAAATGTTTTATTGTTGAAATCATGAAAATGTAGTCATGACGTGTCGTATTTCCATAGATACACACTTGAACTTAATTACGTGCAGGTTGAGTTTCATGAATTCAGCGTTTTTTTTTTACGTCATTTTAAAATTTTTAGCGTGATGACCTGTCTCAATCTGAGAAGATTTTTTCACTTATTTTTACCGATGTTCACATTGATGCCTGTGAACATATCCCTTTCTTCTAAATAAATTCCATCTGAATTCTGAAATGAAGTACTGTATTCCATCAGCATTCTAAGAATCGGTTTCACGGAAATATAAAAAGCCAATTTTCCGGTTCATGCAAAGAAACAAACAACACACTACACCAGGGAATGTCTTTGGCTCGAATGCGAAATATTTTTTGGGTGGTCTATAAATGGGCTCAATGTCTCAAGGGATTACTGTATTTTATTGTGTCATCGACTTATTGAATAATTGTCGGAGCTGAATCGAAAATCTGTAATTCATATTTTACCTGTGTATTTTAATATTTTACTGTAGTTATATTTTTGAAAGTTGTCCTATTCCGATGATACAGAGCAATTTTGCTCCAAGTCGTGATTTCACATTTCACTTGAAAGAAAATTAACTTGAATGAATGAATATTAGTCTGTTTCTTGAAAGGACTTTTGATTTGATTTTTTTCTTTCAGTACAGTACATATATTTTTTTCAGTACAGTACAGATTTTGTGATTCTTTTATTGATCACTTTTGATGTGCGGATTATCCATGAGAACAATCTGGCTATTGTTTATTGCCTTCAATCTTTGCCTGGGATCAGCTTGTTTCTTTCTAAAGACTTGACCAGAAGTGACTTCATTGTAAAATGTTCCGCCTGCTTGTCATAGGGCGGCACTCGGCGTGATTGTGCACTTTCTTTACGTGTGCCTGTTAAATGTGGGGCATGCTTTTTACGATTGCAACGGTATTTAATTTGAGCTCAGACATTCCGGCCTGATTGCATTTAGAGGTTGGTTTTGGATTACTTGGATCCGTTGGGGTGCGGAATAATACTCTTTTTTTTTAATTTGATTGGAGCAATAGAAGTGAGTGAGTGTGCGTTCATGCTTCTTGTAACCAGGATCACTTTTCTCACAAATATACGGGGTGGAGTTGCAAATTTTTAATTTTTTTAAGAAAAATTATCGAACTCTAATTTTACCCTCAGGTTTGTTTTTATTTTTTGGCCTGAGCTGTTGGAAATTTAGCTCGAGGGGAAAGTAAAAATTACTTCCCTGGTCTTCAGGTATTTTTGTATTTATTTCTGAAGGCCGAAACCCCCGTGATTTGTGACGTGAAATGAAAAGGTTATGAAGTCAGTTTTTAGCGAAAATTCAACTTCGCAGCGATTTGTTTTTAAATACGAGCATAACAGGTTGAATGAATTTTTCTCTTGTTTTAAAATAGTTCTTAGGACTAGGTTTTCAAAGAGCTCTTGATGCAATACTGTATCACGAAGCGTGAGAAGGGCTAAGGCATGAAAAGTGAAAGAAGCTGAACAGTTGAGCCCAAAATTTGATTTTAGATTTTCGTAGTTTTTTAAATAACTTTAGTTCAGGAATTTACCAAAAATTCTTGGTCTACCTTGTGTGCGGGAGAAACAAGTTGAATACATTTTTCTACTGTTTGAAAATTACTTTCAAGGTGTAAGTTTCAAGTTTTCCATGATTTAGTATTATGAAACTGACGACGGATTGAAGTAAAAAAAAAATTGAAAGAAGCGAAATACAAGTTGTATATTATATTTGATCCCAAATTCACGTGGTCAGCTTCTATGGTTTTTTTCAAATGCATTCTCGCTTCAGGAATCTGTCTAAAATTCTGTGGTCTACCTCGTACATGGGAAGAAGAAAAAGAAAATACTTCGTCGGATCTTGTGCTTGTGTGTCTGTATGCTTGGTGTGTTTGCCTGACAGCATCCCCCCTACGTGGTCAAGTCGTTCGTATGAAAAATGCGAAAACATTATGTATTTTTATGGAGAGCGTAACCGCAGGAGTTGCATTCCGTTTTGAATCGAAAAGTGGCGAATGTCCTTTTCATAGAGATGAATGCATGAGTATATGCGGAGTTTCACCATCCTGATCCGCGTTAATCGAGGTGCGGGGCGACGATCCAAAAATGGATTCCGGAATAAGAGATATTGCTTAATTTTTTTTATTCTACCGCGTGTAACGTCGAGAAGTTTTATTTTATTTTTCAGTTGTGCTTCGTGTTCTTTTACGTTTGCATGCGAAATACTGTGTTTCCTTTGAAATAAGGCGGATCTTGTGTTTATTTAAGCTGTTGGAGGTACTGGAGCATATTATCCGGGTACGGTTCTTTTTTTTTGTTCTTGAGTAATACAGTAGTTCGAAAATATACGGAAAATTCCTCGTGCAATACAACGACCGAAATCTTTTCAGCAATTCATGAATTTTGAGCGATGGCTCATTTTTATTGAATTGTATCGCATCTCATTGTCTACTTTGTAAAGCCTTGTAATGGGAATTTGTATGAGGTCATTTCCTCTTGCTGTTTAGTAACCCGAGGTACTGTACAGTGTCTAATTTTAATTCGGAAGAGTTGTCACTTGCCGAATTTTATTTTATAAACGCACTCGTTCGGATATTGGAAGTTATTCGTTTATGAATGTTTGTATGCAATGTCCAAATAAAACATATTTTTGTAAAAATTGCTTGAGCTCATGTGCGAAAGGGAAGATTTCTCGCCAATTTACCGTTCCGTGGATCAATTTTAATGTATTGTAAAATCATAGAATTTATGGAGGATTAACTGCAGGATTAACTTGCAATTTTTATCTTTTAGTTCGATGATGTCTTTTTAATGAGCTGGGGAAAATATGTTCTTATTTGTGCCTGAATGTGTTCATGATGCAACCACATTAACTGTGCTCGTCTGTCGTGGATTCATCTAGGTTTTGTTCGTAGGAATTAATGTGGGCCAATGCGTTGAGCGCATGTTTTAGTCGACTGTTGATGTCTGATTGTAATACAGTAGATACAAATATTTTTAGATAGATGGAGTGAACTTACGAACTGAGCTAATTTCTTGTCGTTTAAAAAAATTGCAGATGTTCCGGAAAAGGAGAGAGAAGCGCTTTTTGTGCAAAAGATTCAGCAGTGTTGCGTGGTGTTCGATTTCGTGTCGGAACCGCTCTCTGATCTCAAGTACAAAGAGATCAAGCGGACGACATTGCACGATATGGTCGACTACGTCAACACAAATCGCGGAGTCATCACTGACCCGATTTATGCTGAAGCCGTTCGCATGGTGAGTTTGCTTTTATGTAAAAAAAGAAAAATAAAGAGGATTTTCGTATTCTGCGTATTAAAACATGGCGTTTTTATTGGAAAGCAGTTTTACTTGCGAGTACTGTAGATTAGATTTGACTGTTTATGTCGAAGGTTTGTAGTCTCCTCTTTTTTACGCTCAAAATGAAGTCCGAAGGAAGAATTTATCTACCGCGATGTTTCCTTTTGAGTTCAGTTGAATTTTGATCACCATCACGGTATTTTTTTCATTTACTGTACAGTACTATATTTTAAATGGTCATGGTGGTCAAATTGATTATGCGGATGTCGTAAAATGAGAGTCCGGTCAAAGTTGATGAAATCGTTTTAATGATTCCAATATTTTTTTCCAAGAGGGTTGCTCCAATTAATCATGGGATAACCGTTCAATGATTAGATGCGTGATTAGATGCTTCTGAATTTTCTAGTTTTAGATTTTTTGGGTGTGGTAAATATTATCGTCTGCGTTACAAGTTATTTCAACGTGATACGGACTTTCTTGGGGTTAAGGGAGGCCGAATTTTTTTTTTTTTATAAAGAACTGTACAATAAAGTACGTGCGTTTATTTTCTTCGCTTTTTTTGTTGTTGCGGGAAGTGGTGATATTTCTGTGCGCACAGTACTTGCGTTTTCTTCCCGCGAGTATTTTCTAAAAAGTTTTTGGTCAATTGCGGAAAGAGGTGACGTGCTTGTGGAAAATATATTATGTATGTCGATTTGCTGAAGAGATCATTCATGGAACGGGTTTTGGTTCATAGTTTGCCGTGAACCTTTTCCGAGCTTTGCCGCCTTCATCAAATCCAACTGGAGCAGAGTTTGACCCTGAGGAAGACGAACCAACTTTGGAAGCTGCTTGGCCGCATTTGCAGCTTGTTTACGAGTTTTTCCTCAGATTTCTCGAGAGTCCGGACTTCCAACCAAACATTGCAAAACGATTCATTGACCAGACGTTTGTACTTCAGGTGTGTGTGAAGTTTCCGGGTTTTCCTGCCATAAATGATGATGGTTGTATGGGGGGTTTTTTTTTTCTTAGTTACTGGACTTGTTTGACTCCGAGGATCCTCGAGAACGGGATTTTCTGAAGACCACGCTACACCGCATTTATGGAAAATTTTTGGGATTACGAGCTTACATCCGAAAGCAGATCAACAACATATTTTACAAGTATAATCAAATAACTCTCCGTGTTTCGAGATATTATTGAAATCAAGCGTCATTTAATCGAGAGAAATTATTCCAGTTGCGTGATGAAAATTTTATGAAAGCTTATGCTTCAACATTGCAGGTTCATTTATGAGACCGAACGTCACAACGGTGTTGCAGAGCTTTTGGAGATTTTAGGAAGGTGAGAGTTGAAGGGATATTTTCAACTTCTGTGGTTTCTTGAATGAGGAAATTTGTTCGTTATGTTAGCATCATCAACGGGTTTGCTCTACCGCTAAAGGAAGAGCACAAGCAGTTCCTGCTCAAAGTGCTGCTTCCACTCCACAAGGTCAAGTCCTTGTCAGTGTATCATCCACAGTTGGCATACTGTGTCGTGCAGTTCTTGGAAAAGGACCCTTCGCTCACGGAACCAGTCATTGTAAACCTCCTCAAGTTCTGGCCGAAGGTCCACTCTCCGAAGGAAGTGATGTTCCTCAACGAACTGGAGGAAATTCTTGATGTGATCGAGCCTGCAGAGTTCCAGAAAGTCATGGTCCCGCTGTTCCGGCAGCTCGCTAAATGCGTGTCTTCACCACATTTCCAGGTTTTTATACATATTTCTTCATTTTTAAAAATGTTTCACAGTATGGCCACTGTGGTGAGAATCGCGTCTCCAAAACTCGATGTTGAACATTTGACTACTGTATTATAGAATTTTTCTGTGTTGGTGTTGATATTTTTCTTGTTGCCAGGGCTGCAAACATTTATTTCAACAATTTTGATTTCGATTTTCCCCCATCAAATCTGAGCTTTACCCCTGAACTTTTGTGTCCGGATGCTAGATTATGTCTCGGTTGGAAATACATTTGAATCTCGGTGACTCAAATCTCCCAATGTCGTTTATTTTTTCAAGTTTATCTGTTTTCCGGTTTTGAAAAAGAAAATACTTTGAAAACCTCCCTAACTCGGGAACTTTCACCTTCGCGTGAAGTACAGTAATATAATTCCGAAAGCGTGTCAAAAATAGAATACGAACTGTGCTAATTTTATAAGGAAAGAGAAACTACTATACTTTATTTCGATTCCACTAGTGTGTTTCAGCGTTGGGAATTTATTGTCTTTAGCCGCGCAGGAAAACTTATTTCTCGAAAATGTGGCCTTTCTTATTGGAACTTTTTTCAACGAGTTGCGTGGATTAAATTCCGAATTTCAGGTTCAAGTTCATGAATTGAGTGTAAAAGAAAAAAAGTTACTCTTTTTTGAATTTGACGGAACAATATCAATGATGGAATGTTCGCTTGCAGGTGGCGGAACGAGCGCTTTATTATTGGAACAACGAATACATCATGTCGCTTGTCAGTGATAATGCTAAGGTCATTCTGCCAATCATGTTCCCGTCTCTGTACAAAAACTCCAAGTCACACTGGAACAAGTGAGTTGTTGATAAGCGTTGTTGATTCTTGCGGGTTTTATGAGCTTGTTTCCTGTTGCAGAACAATTCATGGCCTCATCTACAACGCTCTCAAGCTGTTCATGGAAATGAACCAGAAACTCTTCGATGAATGCACTCAGAAGTATAAGGCGGAAAAAATGCAGTGCGTTACGCTTTTTCTGTAGAACTATTGTTCGTGTTTCATGTGCAGTAGAAGTCCACTACAACCAATCTCGCTATAAAGATGTTCTTCTTGGTCCCTGCAGTTTCTCCCTAGGAACAATGTTGGAAAAATTTTCGTTTTCGAAAATCAATTTATAAAAAAAAATTTTTTTATGTAAAATATCAAATCATTTTTATAATAGGAGTACAACGATTTTTTTGCCTTGATAATGTGTAAATGGGTTTTAGGAATTTCTACAAATGGGTACAAAAATTGTAAAATGCAACTTATGCATCTTTTAAAAGTTTTTAAAAATATAATTCCTAACCTTTTTCATAAAATGTGTAGTAGCTCTCATCATAACCTGTTGCTCTCATCATAACTCATCTGTCTTCATTGTAGAATATGAAAGTGGCAATTTTTTCAAAAATAAACATTATTTGAAAAAATACTGCTCTATTTTAGGGAACATGTTGATTAGTAATTAATAAATACTTTTCTTGCACATATATTACTGCATCACCTTATGAAAATGAACGAATGATATTCAGATTCTTAGCTCACAAATTGTTCAGTTTGATCACAAACCTGATCATCTCGCAGATTTCTCCGGAATCACTAACCCGGGTAAAAATGCCATGCAGTACTTAAATGAACTGTATCTAAGTTTTGCTTGCCGAAATTAATATATTTTATGACAAGCCAACATCGATGCAATAGCGAAGAAGAAAGCGTATTGAAGAGTACAAAACCTAGTGATTTTTCTTTAAAATTAGTCAATTTTGTCGATTTCGTTTGAATGCCTACGTTGACGTGAAAATGGTTATTCCGAGCTGCTTTCGTTGTGAAACCGTTGATGCAAGAAGTGGGCCCAAATGTCGTCGCCAATATTAACATTACGTTCAGTTCTGGAAATCCTATCTATCGGCTGTTCTTTTCTTTCCTGATGAGGTGCAACAATGAATGCATCTTTTTTTTTTTTGCAGGGACGTGTCAAGACTGAAGCTGCGAGAGGAGAACTGGAGGAAGATGCATGAGCTGGCTGTGGGGAGCCCGGTGTACCAGCAAATATCGGATCAGGTGGCCTTGACTCCGGATCCGCCGATGGGCTCGTCTATGGCCGACTTTTGCAATGCTGTGTCTATTGTTCCCGGCGCAGCGTCAGTGGTAACAATCACCCCGGCGCCCGTGCGGGAGATGGTTGCTGTGAATCCCGCCGAGGATCTGACGCACGAGCGCATAGAAGCCGGGGCTGCTGAGGTAAGCTTATATTTTGCACCCGTGATGGTGTGTGTATGTGTATGTATGTTTATACAGTAACATCTCGTAGCAATCAACTATTAGGGACTTGAGAAAAAGTTTTTTTAGCTGAATGATTTGTTGACGAAATATTAAAAATTAGCGACTGGAAAAATTGTCACATCACACCTGCCTATAATCAATTAAAGCTTGATTTTCTGGCATTCTCAATTTTTTTTTTTTTTTTTTTTAAACTGAGGGGTCTGAAGAAAAAAAAATTTGTTTCAATCATGCATTCGATCAGTTGTTCAACATCTCTTGATTCTGGGAGGATGATGTGTGATGGAGCGACCTGGAAGCATGTACAGGGTGGGCAAAAAATGAACCGATTTTTGACTTGGAATAGCTTTGTAGGAAATCAAGCTGTGGCAATGAAAAAAGCACCAAATCAAAGCTTGTTCAATTCTCTTTCAAATGGTATGTAGTTGTATGGTTCCAACTGCAACAGGATGGCTACAAGAACCATTTGAGTGGAAACTGTCGGAGAAAAAGTTGTCAGGCAACTTTTTGCACTAAGCTGCTGGTCTGGAGGGCTATTTGCATGAATATCGGAATTCAGGATGCAATAATTTAAACGGAAACTTCATGCTGTCTTGTAGAACCTGCAAAGGTTCCCAAAATTGAGAAAGAGTGGGTGAAAAGGGGGATGGAAATTGGCTAGATAAGATGCTGCAGGGCTCCTGTCATGAATGTGTGCTGCTTGCAGATCTGAATAACCAGCATCTGCATGCACACTTTTTTCTGGATGACCAGATTGCTCAAAATCAGGTAATTCAAAAGCATTTTCAATTGAACTCGGTTCCAACAATCCAGTCATCCAGGAAAAAAGTGTATGCAGTGGGGTCACTGAGAGCCATGAGGCCAGCAGCCAGCATGCTTGATGGAACCCCTGCAGCATTCTATCTTGCCAATTTCCTTCCCCCTTTTCACCCCTCTTTCTGAATTTTGGGAACATGCTGGCTCTACAAGACAGCATGAAGTTTCTGTTTAAACTATTGCATCTTGCATTGCCTTATTGATGCAAACAGCTCACCAGACCAGCAGCTTAGTAGGAAAAGTTGCCTGTCAACTTTTTCTCTGAAAGTATTCACTCAAATGGTTCTGGTAAACATCCCGTGGCACTTGGACCCCATACAACTAATCATTTGAAATAGAATTGATCAAGCTTTGATTTGGTGCTTTTTTCATTGTCATAGCTTAATTTCCTACCAAGCTATTCCAAGTAAAAAATTGGTTCCCTTTTTTTGGCCCACCCTGTACATCATTGATTACAGCTTCCATCCGTGCTTCAAGAACCAGGCAGTTGAATTTGGGATTGGAAATTTCAGACTTTGTCAGGAAATTTCTGCCTAGAGAATCTATCAAACAAATCTCAAAGAAGTTTGTTTAACCGGAATTGAGAAATTCGTTATAACGAGATTGTTTCAGCATGTACTCCGTGGGATGTATATGCCGAGGCTGAAGAAAAAGTTTGTGATGATGAAAACAATTTTTTCTAATGATATTTTTTGTTACGAGATTTTACTGTTGTGTCTTCGACGTAGCCAGCAAAATAAGGATCCTTCGGTGACAACTAGCTAATAGCGTGACGCATCGTCGGCTCCTACAGAAGCTGTCGATGAGTTCGTGTGGTTTCACAGAAGTAGTCGTGTACAGTATCTGCCGTATTCGTGGAACTTCTAAACTTGGATCTATTTGAGCCACGATTCGTAGAATTATGGACTTCTGACCAAACGCTTCTTTCGTACTGTAATAGGAATGCAGTGGGTCCTCACAGAATGAAATTAATCCGTTCCTGGATGAGTTTCGTTGTGCCGAATTTTTATTGTGTGAAGCGCGTTTCCCCTCGAGATTACGTTTGTAGTTGATTTAATTGGTTACAGCCACTCGCCAAAAGTTCGTGATGAACCATAGAATTTGATTATTTTCCAGAAAAATTTGAGAATTACATATTCTTCAGCATGAAATTGAATTAATCTTGACAACTTTTGCGCATAACTTTGAGTTCCCCAAATTGTAAAGACAAGAAGATGTAAAACTGTGCTTTCCCCTTTTTTCTTGATTTTTGAAAAATTCGTGCGTTCCAGTTGAAACATTTCTTGAATTTGCCAATTTTTGGGCTATACAATTTCTTATTGTTGGTCATGTCCATCCATCCTCGAGGACGTTTCCTCGAGATCTAGCTTATGCTCATTGGTAAGATTTGTACGAATTGTAATTGAATTTACACGATGATGTATTTTTACTGCTATTTTGAGTGTTGAAAAGTGTTCATATTTCGGGAACATTTCTCTACTATCACGAATCTTTTTGGGACAAGCGAGATGGAAGAAGAATTCAAAAGCTTCACAACTCCGAGAAAGTTTTTTTTATTTGAAGCTGAATTGTGTAGATTTAAACTTCAATTTGTTGTCTTTACGTATGCAATCGACTAATCGAGGGAGGAAGTGCGTTTTCGAGCTGTCAGTGAATGATATTCTGCTTATGATTAGATCCGGAAGTTGAAATACTGTACCTGACTTCTTCAAGCAAAACATCGGCTTGAAATTGCCTCATGACGGACTGAATAAAAAAATTACGAGGTTCGTGTGTAGCGCTGAGAAATAGAAATACTGTATTGTATTGCTCTGTCTGCATCGACTCTCTGGGTCTCTCAAATTTTCTTGAGTAAGATTTAATTTCCTCGTTTTCTTCGGATCATTATTTCATTTGAAAAGGGCATAAACAGAACCGTCTGGAGTTTCTTCTGTTATTTTTTTGTCCGACGTTTATTTTTATTTTTTATCATTTTCAGCCATCGCATCAGCGAAACTTCATTTAGATACGCTCACGTGTTCAATTGAAAATTTTTTGACATTTCCAACGGCTAGAAGACGCTTTGAATACTCGTTTGAAAGACTGCGCGGATTGTGGAAATCGTGAATTTCGTTCGTAGGAAATGAAATTATATTAAAAAAATATTTTCTTCGAATAATTGATCGCATGATTTGTGCTTTCTTGCAAATCAATGGTTTTTTTTTTGGAAATGTGGCCACAAGTAACATCTTTCCAAGTGAATGAAAGCTATTGTATACTGCATTAATACTTGTTTATTTCGAGTATTCTTTTTTTGTCACATTTGAGGCTCGAAAGGATTTTCCGAAGTACGCGTGGTCTCTGATCTGTCTTAATTTCTAGAGCACTTACGTAGTTTTAAAATAATACATTTCTTCATCATGTCTGCTGGTAATTCATAATTTTTGACAAATACTGTATATCAGCAGCTCATAGTTCTATTAGTTTGTTGTAATCCCCCCCCCCTTAAAAATTATCGACAGCCACAAAACTGACGGGGAAGAAATTTATTGGGGAAGAAGATTATATTTCTTATATTTTAGATTCGCTGCGCTGACTTCGGACAACTTCATTTATCTATTTTGTAGCTTATCAAGTTAATGAAAGGGATTCCAGAGGGATCTGGAGCCAATTGAACAGTTTAAGTAGCCTCATCATATTACCTTATGCATGATGGACTTCTCAGTGGATTGGATGAAGTCCCTTGACTGATTCACTTTTGTAATGGCTTGTTCATTCTGTGCGACAACGTTTAATGCCTCGTTTTTCTTCTCAATTTTTACGTGTAAAAAAATAGGCCATGAAAGCTAGGAACAAAGAGAAGCCGCTGCTGCGGAGGAAGTCGGAACTGCCGCACGACTCGCTGACAGCCAAGGCTCTGATCGACCACAAACGCGCCGACGACTTCCTGCGCCCGGCGGCCATGGAGCCCAATGCCGCCGCGCCGCCACCGCCGCCCTGAGTGCTCCCTGCCGCGTGCGCACCTGTACTGTAATTTTTTTTCTCTCTCTTCTCGCACATTTGGGTTGATTCTCGTTCACCGCCCTCACACGAGTAAGTGTTGCAACTCATTTTCACGAGCTCTGCTTCCGCCTTCTTTTGAGAGGCGTTTCGCTGGAAAGAAAGATTAGGAAATAACACGGTAATTTACTAATATTGTGTCCCATTAATTTTAAGTTTTTTTTTCCGCTCTCGTTGTCTTCGACATTCCGATCAAAATTTCAGTTCCTTTCGTGTCATGCTTCCGTTGGACGATTTGTTGATTTAATCCCACGAATGATGACGAAGGAAATGTTTGTTGAAGTTTTTTGAAACCACAGCCGCTGTAATATCGCCGGTTCAATTAATTGTGTATGTGCTTGAATCGTCATGATTAATCTTTCAAGTAGGTGAAAATAACATTTAATAAAGTACCCAATTGTTGGCTTTTGCTTTCTAATAGTTTTTTTTTGGACAGAGGAGTTTAATGAATTTATGTCCAAGGTCTTATTTTTTGCTTTTGAAATCAATGTTTTGCTCTAGCGGCTTTCTCCTGATTTGAAAAAGAGCAAGCTTTTTTTTCATTGATTTGAGCCTTGTTGCAAATTTCTCAACGTTCCCCAAAGTTGAACTGGTTTTTTTCGGTGTGGGAGAGTGATGAACGAGGATTGATTTACTTTGTTTCTTCAGAGCAAGGTTCATCAGTTCATCCGTTTCTTGCGACGATTACCGTATAAAAGTGATCAAACTTGTCGCGAAGAATGTTTTTTTTAGTAGTGTTACTTTTCTGGACTGATGACGTGCGCAGAATAATCTAGGAGCGCAGGTGCAAGACTCGTGTGAAGTTGGAGGAGCGCAATTAATTAACCCTGTCCCCAATCGCTGGTCGGCTGTTCGCAAGCATAGAAGATTAAGAGGAAATGTTTCTTTTCGTGGGAACGATTTCATGAGTCTTGGGCAGCAAAGAAAGACCGTTTTCAAGTCTTGTGTATCGGATCAACATTGACGGAATATTGTCTTCAACCGTCGAGAAATTATCCGCTTCCGAGTGGGAGCTTTTTTAAAGAATTAAAGCCATTAAAAGTAGGTTGCGTTTTTGAAAAAGGGAAACAAACGAGAATGTAAAATAATTATTTTGTGATTAAATGGGTGAATTCTGGGACGAAGTAAGCGGTATAGTTTAGGACTCAAAAAAATGCAGGCCCTTCGAATTCATTCAAGAAATATTTCACGGGGATCAGTTCGCTTCGATGAGCTATCTTGATTCTTCGCTGTCCAAGACCGTGTGTATCGTACTACTTTTAACATTCGTATGCTAATCTGAACTTTTTTTTACTGGCCCCCGGCAGAAATGTCATCCCAAAGCACTTGAACGTCTGCGTTTCGTGTGCCTTTTTCGAAAATGGCAAATTTCCTCCATGCGTGATTCATTTCCGGTTTTCATCGTAATTTCGAAGTATTAAACCACGGTTTTTCGCGCTTGAAAATAAAACAGACAAAAAATGAAAGACAAACGAATCTTCCTGATCGTAGCGGCAATTGAAGTCAACTTCCGATGGGAATGAAGAAAGGCCCGGTGATGAGTAATGATAACGATGATTAGGCCCCCAGCTGAGCGAGAATAACTTCCGGTAGAAGTATTTTGAATTGAGCGTCTCTTGCGAAGAAAGAAGTTTCCGCCAGCTAGAGTATTTTGTTATCCAGAGAAGTTTTTTCCGCTGTCCTCTGCTGCACATTCCGGGTTACTCATGAGTTTATACTTCATATTTTGTTGCTAATCGGGATCCACCGGCGCGTGAATCGTTTCAACAAAACCCTGGCAAACATTCTTGATTTCGGTGAAACGAAAAATTAAACTCGAGATTTCCGTTTTGCTTAACCGATTTTCGATGCGCAGGTTTTCTGGTGGATTCAGTGACTGAAAAAATGGAACCCAAAGGGTGGTTTCATGCTTTTTTTTTTCTTCTTTTCGTTGCATTCCGCGTTCTGCCGCCAGGGAGTGAATGGGACCCCTTCCCCCCCCTAACAGAAACCCTAGACTATTTTATGTGTCGAGCGATGGACTCATTATTGACGAGGCATGCGGTAGTATATTTTACTCGAGAACGATCGTGAAGAGTGACTGTTGCGAAGGGGTAATTTATATCATAGCGGTTTTGTTCCCGGCGTCGATAGAAGCTTTTCTTTTTTATTTAAATTTTTTTCGAAAGCCACGCCTGTTTTGGTCGTGGGGTTTCTGGGGCTTTTCTCCGGGATTTATGCGGGTTTCACGAACTGATTTTTTTCTCGGCTGGTGCACCCTATATTACGTCGAACAAAAGCAGCCTCTTGGTGTGATGGAAATCTACTGAAAAGATTTTGAACAATGTACACCTCCAGTTGAAAAGGAAGGAAAGAGAGACTCGCTGCTGGAACGAGAAAGTTTGCATACGCACTAGATCAAATCAAAATTGAATGCAGAAATGGAAGAGGAAAAAAATGTATCGATAGGCGGATCAGCTTTTCTCGCTATAAGAAGCGAATCCTTCTTTTGCTCCCTTTTTTCTTTGGGTTTCTCTGGAATGAAAAGAAAAGGTAAAATTAATGGTTGTGCGTCGGGAGACTTTTTTTTTTTGTGGAGAGTTTTTCTGGGGCTTGAAGATGGATATGCCGAGATTTTTTTTTTTTTTGGCTAGATCTGAAATTCTGTTCATGTTTGATCGCAATGCTGTCCGTTCCCGGAGCCTTAGGGATTTGATGATCTGCAGAAAGAGACTTTCATGGGATCGTGCTTTAAACAAAGAAAAAAATGTGGAGGCACAGTGATGCTCGCAAAATTTTCACGTGAATCCTTCAGTGGTCGCTGAAACCCGGGGAATTGCCCCGAGTTATTATTTTTTTCCTTAGTGTTCGCAGCTGCGGTAAAATCGCGTCGGCGCTGTGTCGGTAGCGGGCCCCGAATGTTGGTGTTGAGGAGGCTGAGCACATGAAGCAAGTGATCGCGGCGAAGGAGGACTAAAAAAAAAGAGAGAAAGAGAAAAAGGGGAATTGGTGTAAGTTCTCGTCGGCGAGGCGGGTTATGCTTGGGAGAACGTAGATGTGGGTGTCGTGTATGATTTTAATCGCTCTGTTCACCCCCTTGTGGTTCGAAAATGTTGAACGAAGAAAGAAACTGAGGGAACGACGAAGATGTCTAGTGGAGCGTTTGTTGAACAACCCTGTTATGATTTCCATTTTTTCTATTGAATTCATGTGCTTTACGCTGTGAATGTTTTAACTGACTTTTTCTTTTTTTTTTTGCAGGATGCAGTGCCACGAATTTTCCGAAAGTATGCGGTGTGAGCGCGATTTCTCACGATTTTGTTGCGTTGCAGTGAATGCGGCAAATAATTTGGTTCTGTAGTGCTGCACACACTCAATGTGATTCATTGAACCGTATTTTGTAATTTCTTGTCTATAGGGTATTTACCTGAATGTTAGATGCTCTTTTTAATTAGCTTCGAAAACGATTAAAGAGCGTCGATGGCATTGAACATTTTATGATACATTGAGTTTCTCATTAATTTTTAAAAATCAAAACTGCAGGTTTGGTTCAAACGAATCCTTGATTGTATTTTTAGTTCCAGTGCATTGAGATTATAATCCTTATTTATGATGAAATACGTTTCCGAGGATATGAAGTGTTGTAACTGGAGCATGAGTGAGTAGAATCACGAGCCTCTTCGCAACTAAAGAAATGGAGTTTGGGGAAAATCATTTTATGCTGGTGGACTCTACAACGAAATTCAACTGACCGTAAAAAAAATCGTTGTAGGGAGAATCCATCTGCATTCGCTGATGAAGTTGTTTTTCGAGCCATGCGTCTGTTTCCTTGTATCAAGGTGTATATCGAGTATAGAATCTGAGAATTATGTACAGTAATGTACATATGTATAAATTTAAAGCAATACGCATTTTTCCCTAGCGAATTTTTCGTTTTTTTTTTCAATAGAGATGAACGTGGAAAATGCTTCTAAAACTTGTTTACCTTGTCGGCTTGCGTCGGGCGGTGGAATGATGTTGATTTCGCTCTACTTGTTCCGCCAAGCATCGCAAACGGCTTTTAGTCGACACCGGTTGGGCTTGCAAGTTTTGAGTGGGATTTTTGGGGGTGTCGGTGCTGCTCGGGTCTTGGACTTGCCGCCGTTCAATAGGACCAAGTTATGATAAGCGATTTGGTTCGTCAATTGAGCGAGCGTTTCTTGAATTTTAAATTACGTCTGCTTTTTTTGGGTCTAGATCTAAATTCCGTGTTGTTAATTCGCGATGGCCGGACAACCTGATCCGGTTCTTCAACAGTTCATCGAGGCCGAGACCCAACGACAGCGTTTCCAGGTGCGTTTCTGGAACAATTCTGAACCTCGGTTTAGTTTTAATGTCCGACGTTCGTGAATCTGTACTGGTTTTCGTCATCATAGTCGTAGATGTCACCCGAATTTTGTTTAAATCATCGAATAATTTTTTCTAAGGACTTTCATGCAATCCCGAAAAAGCAATTTATCCGGGGTATTCAAGTGGCACCTGAGTGATAATTCAAAAAGACAGGTCGAAGTTCAAAGAAATAGCCATTTGGTTGTGATAACTGTGTGTTTCTTGTAGAGGAATTCTCCCGTATTTCGTTCCGGATGATTATTTGAGATTTTTCTTTTTTTTCATCTACGGTATGTCTTCTTTTTTGTACCATGGTCTTTTTTATTTTCGTATGGAGGTATTCTCTCAACGTACTGAAGATATACGTTTCTATAAAAATCTGATTTTCAGGTTATGGTGAGCGCGTTGAACGACAAGTGTTGGGATCTTTGCTTCGACTCCAAACCTAGCACCAGGTTAGAGTCAAAAACTGAGAACTGCTTGAAGAACTGCGTGGATCGTTTCATAGACACGACGAACTTCATGGTGAATCGGCTGGAAAAAACCGCATTATCTTCGGGTCTTGCCCCGAGTGAATTTGAAGTGGATAATTGAACATTTTTGGTGTCCGGTAGTTACGGCTCACTTGAAGCCTTTCCATGTGATTTTCAAACCGAGGTTGGTGGCCGGGGTAGAATGGAGGCATTGTTTTTGAAAAATCTTTGGTGTTGACAGTTTAGTTGTTGGAAATCTCTTTCGAAGATTCAGTTGATGCTGTTTTGATGTATGATGCGAATGTTCAAATAACGTGCTGAAGAGGTGAAGATTTCATTTTAGTTGAAATCTTCATAGCTGAGATTCAAATGCAGGATTTATAAATTAACTGTGCAGGGAGGAAAGTGTAATGCATACGAAAAATTCTACGTTTTCCATCTCAAGAGTTTCCATATTGTGGATAATGGTCATGAGATCGTTTTAATTCTCCACAGCGTCATTCAATGTTTCAATTGCTTTTATGTTGTTCCTTTTTTCACGAAACATTGCCGGAAATTCCGAAAAATTCATTTTTGAGAATACATGTATAGTACAGTACTGTAGTGAGGAGCATTAATTTTTTTGTCTTCCGAATTGAAGCGCTTTTTTGTAACCTTATTTTCATTTCTCGCAATCGTCGAATCGTATGGGCAATTCTGACTTCTTCCCTGTACAGTATATTTATGAACTACCTTTATTTTACATTTTCTGAGAAAAGATGCGTAAATTGTGTTCAGTTTTCAAATCAACTTCGACACGCACCACGGACACTTACGAAGCTAGCTCTTCGAGAATCTTCGGAACGGTGCTTTTTTTGTACAGTACTTTAGATCAGGAACGCTGCACAAAATTTGATTCGTGTGTTTTGTTTTTTTGCAGGTGGTTCATGATGTGAAAGTTTCATTTCTGAATCCTTTGTCCATTTTCCTTTGATTTTTTTTTTGTGTGTGTGTCTTTGTGTAAACAAAAATGGAAATGGACGGAATGCGGCGTCCGCCGAGTCCTCTGGACATGAAACCGGACACGGCAACCCTGGTGCTCAGCTCGGCATCCTCATCGACATCCCTCCCGATGCAGAGCCAACTCGATTCCGCATCTCCGGGCTTTTTTGCTCAAACCGGCAGCCTGAATTCCCCGTCTCCGTCGTACCCGCCGAACCATCCGTTGTCGGGTTCGAAGCATTTGTGCGCCATTTGCGGCGACCGGGCGAGTGGGAAGCATTACGGTGTGTACAGTTGCGAGGGTTGCAAGGGCTTCTTTAAACGGACTGTGCGGAAGGATTTGTCGTATGCGTGTCGTGAGGAGCGGAGTTGCATCATTGATAAGCGCCAGAGGAACCGGTGTCAGTACTGCCGGTACCAGAAGTGTCTGAATATGGGCATGAAACGGGAAGCCGTGCAGGTGAGTCGACTCCCGAAAGCGATTTGTCCTTCCTTTTTTTCGTGTTGCGAGATTCATTCGCGTTATTTTATTTTTTCGTTCTTTTTGAAAAGCCGGTCTCATGTTTTCTAGTCCCAACAACATGATATTATGAGAAAATATCATGTCAGTCAATTTTCCTTGAGGATCAGTAAAGTACAATTCTACTTCGGTTGATGGACTTGTTCGATTTCAAAGGTGCCTATTAAAAGATTAACCTGTAGAAATCATCAAATTACTGGTCAATTCTAGACCCCCAGAAGTCGAGTTGTGTACGGTAAACTTTCGTGGAATGATAGAATTGTTCGATAAATTCCAGATTTATTTGTCGTATTGAAGAATTCTGCTTCTTCTTGAATAGCAGAAGTACTTGAAGGAGGAACAAGATGCTGGACATAATTAGGAATCCAAAGATGTTTTACCTTTGAAAAATCCATCAAGCAGCCACTTCTCTGGAAGATACATGAATTTTAAAAAAATATTTTAACAAACGTTTTTCTTTCAAAAAAATCTGGCGACCAAATTGCATTGTCTGGGGTTCATGTTCCAAAGGAAAAGTGGGACACATTCCAAGTGAATTCTGTGAGAAGTCAATTGTAAGATGAGTCTATTAACTGGGGCACCACGTAACATATCTCTTCGGATCATGATGAATGCTTGTGACAGGTGTATAAAGGTTCACTGAGCTGTGAAATACTCAGCATTTTTCTTCTGCACATCTTGGGGAAACGTGCTGAAAATCAATCATAATTGATGTTGAATTGTTTTTAGTTTTACTTCGAACTCTTTGTTTGAACCTAAAAATGACAGCATTGTTAATTTTTCTGAAATTCTACCCGTAAAAATCTTTAATTCTTTCTGTTACCCTGAAAATGATTTTGTCTGTGCGGAATTTATTCAAAAGCTGGTGAAACTTCTGAATTAAATTAAAATTAAATTTAATTGATTAAATTAAATTGCCATTGAATTCCCAATGTGATGGAGAACAATTTTGATGATTGATGACGAAGTATGAAAACTCATCTGATGGATTAGAAATATATTAGTGCAAAGGAACTTCTTTTTGGACATACTCGAATCTGCTCTTGAGCAGTCGGAGCCTTTTGAATGCTGTATACATTTTCTTGGCGAAGCCCCGCACACGACAATTCCGAATAGTATTCAAAATTAGGGCAGATTGCATCTTATCCCTTGTATACCGTATTACATATCCCGTTATGAATATTTCGTATATTGTGTCTCGTGCATGTTATTGCAGTATTTAATTTGGTTCCAATTTTTCTTTTTTTCTAATTTTCCTGGATCTGCCGCGGAGCTCTCGGAAAACGCAGGCGGAGCCCTCAGGGCTCCGCGGAACACAGGTTGGGGAATCCATGCCCTATAGTATTTCCGACATATTTTTTCATGCATTGCAGGAGGAGCGACAGAGAACCCGTGAACGGGGTGGCGAGAATGAGGTTGAAAGCACGAGTGGGAACAGCTCATTTGACATGCCGTTGGACCGAATTTTGGAAGCGGAACGACGTGGCGAAATGCGAGAGACTTATTCGACGGACTCGGATGATCATGTTTCGAACCTTTGCCAAGCAGCAGATAAGCAGCTTGTGCATCTCGTTGAATGGGCCAAAGTTATTCCGCACTTCGTGGAGCTTCCGTTGGATGACCAAGTTTGCTTACTTCGTGCTGGCAAGTTTTTTTTGCTTAGTTGAAGTTCTGGGAAGTTTTGTGGATCACCTATAAATCTTCGTTGAAATTTTAGGTAACTTATCTATCCCTTGTCAACTTATTGTTGAAACTGTTTTTCAGTTCATGTGATTATTCTGGAAAAGCTATTTATGCATTCAAGGAACGCGTCCTTCATTACAGCAGTTACTCGAATATTACGCGCACCTTTTTTTCGCAGAATTAATAAGAAAAAGTGGGTTCGCGTCATAGGCTGGTATAAATTGAAAAAAAAGTTTAGCAAGTTTAGATGTGCATTATACTGTACAGTATTCTATTTAAATTTGGAATTTTGGACCTATCTTCACTCAATAACTCGATGGAAATAATTAAGAATTAGTTAAATGCTGCATCAATTCATGGCGAAATTCAATTCTGAGAGTTCGCATTGTTAAAATATTGCTGTTTTAGATTAATTAAAAATTGGGTACGTTCATGAAAATTTGTTGATAACTAGCAGGACTTTTTGAAAACCTGTCATATACGGCATATCTTTCATTGGTATTTTTTATTTTTCCGTAGGTTGGAACGAGTTGTTGATTGCTTCGTTTTCTCATCGATCGATCGATGTTCGAGATGGGATCGTTCTGGCGCCTGGACTGTTGATTCAGCGACCGTCTGCGCACAATGTTGGCTTGAGTGGAATTTTTGACCGCGTTTTGTTGGAGTTGGTTGCCAAGATGCGGGAGTTGAAGATGGATAAGACGGAGATCGGATGTTTGAGATCCGTCATCTTATTCAATTCTGGTGAGTATTCTTACCCGCAATCTTCTTCTCTTTTGTTTTCAGGTATGATTGTCATGTCCTTTACATTTGCTACAAAAATAAAAAATTAATCTTGTCAAAGCTGGAAGTTCTGTTCAGTTGCTTTTCATTGGTAATTTCAAAATTGTTCTTGTACAGTTGAACCTCGATAACTCGAACCTCTCTATGACGAATTTTTCTTCAAGTCCCTGTCTGAATTCCCTTGGAAATAATGCATGAAAAACGCCCCTTACTTGAAGGCTTTCCCCCTCAAACTTCCGTATGCGAAATTTTTGGAGTCCTTCCGGTTATTATTTTATTGACGTGGAAAAAAGGAAAGCAATAAAAATGTAACTTGGAGTCGAAAGGAAGTGATACCAAACTTGGCAAATAAACCCATAGCCCCAATCTCAGTACCCTGTCAACTCATTTAAGAAGTAATTTAAGGCCCAGAACATCACCAATTAAGATTTCCTTTAATTATTTTTTTCTTTCTACCTACAAAAAATGCATGGTTACCTAAATCAAAAAAAAATTTCCCTTGAAATAAGACTTGAAAAGGTTCAAATAGTAACGACCAGTATGACGCGCGCGCATTCTGGCAGTTGGCGGCCGTTACTAAATGATTCAGGTCTTTTTTAACCCGCGGCTGAAAGATAGAATTTATTAATTTTTAGCATTTCAGAAACTAGGTATGCTGGGATTAAAGCTAGGAAGACGGGTTGACTTCAAAGACATTGAAATCATGTGTTATGTTACCGATGGTTATTGTGTTCATTTGAATGCCCTTGCCATTTCTCTTCGTAAATGCCTGAAAATATTCTTTTTTTCGCAGAGGCGAAAGGGCTGAGATCGATGCAAAAGGTTGAAGCATTGAGAGAGCAAGTCTTCATGGCGTTGGAAGAGCATTGCAGATTGAATTATCCGAACGAACCTGGCAGATTTGCCAAACTGCTGCTGCGACTGCCGTCCCTGAGGTCCATTGGACTCAAGTGCCTGGAGCATTTGTTTTTCTTCAAGCTCATCGGAGACACTCCTATAGACACTATTCTTCTCGAAATGCTGGAGGCGCCGTCCAATGATTGCTAAACATCTTCTCGTGTTCTGAGGGAAGTAGTGCCTTTTTTTTTTGAATCAGGGAGCTGTTTCAGACAGACCGAATAGGTTCCAAACATTTTGTTTTTTGTTTTGTACGGGAAGAAACCAAATTTGTCTTGCATTGATCTTCATCCTATTCTATGCGATATACGAAGTGCGAAACTGTTTTTAGCTTTTTAAAGTGTGCGTGATTTTCTTGAAATCTTGACTCGCCGTCAAAGTGTCAAATGTATTCAGAAATCATCAAACTGAAAAACTTTGAACTCTTCCTCCAGTTTTCGTCTGTTGTAAGTACGGACTGATGTACCGTTTGTCATGGAAATCGTAGGCATCGAAGAAAGTTCAGAAATTTTGCGTCAGGGATCGAAAGTTTTTGAAGTATGGTTTTTAGCGATAACAACGTGCGAAAAAAAAGTTCTATTTTTGTAGATTTTGTGATGCTTGCCTCTCGACGTTACGTTGACTTTTTCTGTTTCGTGACGAATGAATTTTTTTTCCCCGCTGTTGATTGAATACGATGAATTTGTAATGAATCTGTCCTGGTGGTATTGCCTGGTGGCCTCAAATGTGAAATTTTTTCGAAAGAACGTTTTCCTTGACAGAAAACTGACTTGTGATCCAAGGGATTTTTACTCCTGTCTGTTTTGGGAGAGGAACAACTGCCAAAATTGTTGCATTTTTTTTTTTTCTTGGATGACATCAGGGTGGATGCTGAATTATTGCAGCTCGCGAGAGATAGCCCATTTCTTGCGTTACGAATAAAAGTGTACAACTGCTGGACCTGACGATTTTCTCAGTTGCCAAGTATTTTTCTAACTGATTTCGAATATGGAGGTTATCCTTTTCGTTCCCAGACGAATTATGTTCTCAATATCGGATGGATTGATGTAGTGCTCTGCTAAGAAGTGAGTATTTTCAAAGATTTTATTCGTAGTATTTTGACTGGATTGAGAGATACTCCTGAAGTTGGCTTGAATACATTTGTCGTGATGTAAAATGACTTGATGAAACGTCTACCGCGTTGAGGTTCATGTTCAGTTCACGTCAGTTAGGTGTGAAAGTAGATGTCGAGGACATTTGGATGTGTTGATTTGCCATTTCAAAAGCAACATCTTATGAAAATATTTGTTGATTGTTTAAGCTTCAGAAAGGAAGTACTGTACACTTGAGTTAATTTGATGAATTGCTTCATTTTACGATTGTGCGTCCCGTAACTTCCTGGGAAATTTGAAAAAGCGTTTCAGGAAATATGGATAAATTTCGTTTTGCTTCGATTTTTCAGTGGGGATTTTTTTGCGGAGGTGAGGTGACATCGACCGAAAAAGAAGAAAGGCGAAAAATGTTCCGCCGGATTCGAGACTTCACTCGCCGCCACCGTGGCAAATTGGTCTTCGCGACTGTAGCCGGTGGCGCCGCATATTTCGCGGGTCGTTACGTGCACCGCAGGTTCCTCGAATGGCAGCAATCGGCGACCAACGATCTCCTCGAACAAACCAAGAAACACATTCACTTTGAGTCGACGCAAAGGACGTGCGTGGACACCACTGCCGCCTTGTGCGCCACATTGGTCGCCAAGGCGAAAGAACGGTTCAACCCCGACTCCATAATCGCCGCCATCAAAGCCGCCGGTGCCGCGTCTGCGGCGGAAAAGATGCCGTTGTGGGAAAAATTGAAAGCGTGCTCCTTGTGTCGCGCGTTTGCGAGTATCTACGGAGGCGCCATGTTGTGCGTGTTGACGAGCGTTCAGTTGAACGTGGTTGGAGGCTATCTGTTCGTTCAAATGAATCAGAACGAGGAGAACTTGAACGGATTTGGTTCCATGGAACAAGAAGCATATCTCTCTTCCATGACGGAATTCGTTTCCCGAGGTTTCGCGCAGTTTTGCGACGACATGGAAATAATCGTGAACGAATTGGTCGCCGCGACGCCGTTGAAAAAGCAGCTGAATTTCGCCAACGTGAACTCCTTGACGTTCTCTGTGAAAAATGAGTTGGATGCGTTGTTGCAGGGAAAACTGTTGGAGTATATTTATCCGTTGCTGGAGAATGAAGAGTCGATTCTAACGACTGTTGTGCAGGAAACGAGGGATGTTTTTGAAAATCCGGACGTGTTTTCCGTGATTCGACACTTGACTCAAGTTGGCACGAACGAATTGCTGGATGGGATTGCGAGGGAGTGGATTGTGAAATCAAAGGAAGCCAAACCGCCGAGTGATGAAGCCGATGATATTGAGGAGACGAATGCGAATGTCATTCCCCAATTGTCAATGTTTCATGACTTCTCAATGCCATTTGCGAAATTACTGCCGTTATACGCGGGTTTTTCTCCTTTCACGTTGTTGAATGACATGATGAAAGCAGAACAATTGAAGAGTTTTTCAGCCAACGTGTATGAAACATTCAGCGTAGCGGCAACTCGAATTTAAAATCATTTTTCCGTGTTTTGGGGTCAGTTTTTAATTTGTGAAAAGTGATCATATTTTTGAATATGGGTTGTATTCATCATTTGATGAGCTTTTTCGTTTTTTTTTTTTTTTTTTTTTTTTTTTTTTTTTTTTTTTTTTGGTTTTTAAATATGGGTTGTATTTATCTTTTTATGGTTTTTTTTTTTTTTTTTTTTTTTTTTTTTTGGTGGTCTCGTTGGATTCTGGGTACTTCACTCCGGGATGGATGTATTAAGAAATTGGGTATTCATGAGCAATCCCTCGATTCTGGGCATTCCTGGTATAAAAAAAAATGTTTCAATGTCTGCAACTGATCTTGATTCGATTTATTTATTTTTTTCTTTTCAATCTACTTTCGATTTGCTTAACCTTCAATTTTCCATCAGAAAGAAGGCAGTGCTGTGGCGGTGTGACCAAGCCTATGTCAAGGAAAGATGTGACTGTTTCAAAGCATCTTGAACTGAATGCAAGTGGATTTTCTGTTGATGGCCCTCAACCTGTTTTCTGGATTTTTTGATGAAACGAAGCTCTATGGAGGTTGCATGGAGCAGCTGCCTCAGGGAAAATGCGTTTTGTATATAGGTGAAGTGTGTTGGCCAGAAATACTGTGCCCACTTTCTGAAGAATGGACAGCTACCAGCAGTGCAACAATTTTCTGAACATTGTATAATGCTTTTTCTTTTTTTTTGTCCCAAACAGTTAGCTTTCACCGTACCATGCAAGGGTTTCTAAAATTGTTTTTTCTGGTCCTTTGAATTTTGTTCTACCTGTATCAAGTTTTTCATCAAAACATTATGTCCCACAGGTTGGCACTCATTTGTTCCGCAGGAGCTGTATTAGAATTTTATTTCCGAAAATACAATCTTTCAAGTATATATCCGCTAATAATTAAAACTCGGTCTGTTTTAAGATGAAGTAGAAATTTTATTTTTCCTTGTTCATCTATTCTGCTTCTCATTCTTCACTGTGTGTTCACTTCTGATGATAATTTCCCCCTTCTGCCGTGTGCGAAATGGCTTATCCTATAACAATTTGAAAATAAATTAGTTATGAATTGAAAGATTACTGCGTGTTACAAGCTCTGCAACCGAAGAAGGGAAAGGGCCAGTACAGGAAAATCAAAATTGTGGTGGGTTGTATATAGACCTTCCTGCAAATACCCTGACATTCTCTTTTTAAGACGGACATATGCCTTTATGCTGGTTGCCACTGAGGTGCACAGAAGATTTATTTAGCTATGGGTGAATTGGCTTGAAATAATTTCAAATTTTTATAAATCATGACATCTTATACATTCACTTCAATAGGTGTCTCAGATTTCCAGGACGTTCCATTTTGCAAATCATCCCAAAATAACGAATAAACCGTGGGCTAGTGTACAGGAATCTCAAATTTTGATGATTTATCAAAGCAATCCTCTGATGTTAAATTCAGATACTGAATTGGGAGAGATTCTCTCACGTTAATTATTTTTTTTAATTGGCGGAAAACGGCAATACTGTACGAAGACGTGTTTTTGCAGTTCTGAAAATTATTTACAACACTCGATTATGTTCAAGTGCTGGTTATTCACTCCTACGCATTGATGGGTGAAGGGCTCCACTGTAGAATTTTACCAATAATTAAATGTGCTCCTCCTTGGCTGGCATGTGCAGTACTGTGCTGCTCATGAACCCCTCGCAAACTAAATTTAAAGTTCTATGCGTACTACATCTATTTGAGAAAAATACTGTACGAACAGGTCCCCAAGCCCAGAAGGGATTTCTGGCAACGCAGGATAGCCGCGTGGAATCCTCGAACGTTCTAAGATGGCGGCTTCCCCGTATGCTGTCGGAGGGAATGCCCGACAGTCGCGTTCGGAGTGTAGATTTCCGGAGGGGCTGTGGAAGTGATTCGTCGTTAAGAATAATCCGAGATAAGTATTTTTGTGGTTTGAGGCTGGAAATCCCTTGATTTGTCCCAGCGAGTGGTAAAGTGATGTTTTGTTTCATCTCATTAGCGCGTAATTGGTTTCGTGAGAAAACCTTTCGATGCTCATTGCCGGAATCTTGATTGGATTCTACTCCTTAACCATGCTCGTTCCGCGAAGATCAAGAATCGGCTACTTCACGGTTGTTTTTCGTGTCTTGCAGAATATTTTTTACCGTGGGAGGTTACGATGGGTCGCGTGATTCGCGCACAGAGAAAGGGACGTGGATCCGTCTTCCGCGCCACCAACAAGCACCGGAAGGGTGTTCCCCGTTTCCGACCGGTTGATTTCGCCGAACGACAAGGATACATCAAGGGTGTTGTCAAGGTAAGGAGTGAAAGAGCGTCCGGCATCCGTACTTGAAGTGATGGTCGATGACATTTGAAACTTGACTGTTCTTAGTGAAACCACTAATTGTACTGATCTTGCACTAAAATCAATGTAGGTCCCCACTCTGGTCGGTAATAATAGTTTCAAGATGTTTAACTCATTTTCAGGAAATCATGCACGATCCTGGTCGTGGTGCACCCCTGGCTTTGGTGGTATTCCGCGACCCCTACCGCTACAGGCTTAGGAAGCAACTTTTTATTGCTTCAGAAGGCATGTACACCGGTCAATTCATTTACTGCGGAAAGAAGGGTGAGAACGAGATCAGTCGTTTTGCGATCAAATAAGGCACTCTGAAAATTTACAGCTACATTGCAAACCGGAAATGTCCTCCCAATTGGCACCATGCCTGAGGGTACTCAGGTCTGCAATGTCGAAGAGAAAACTGGTGATCGTGGCCGAATCGCTCGTGGATCCGGAAATTATGCTACTATAATTTCACATAACAACGAAACGAGGAAGACCAGGATCAAGCTTCCATCAGGAGCCAAGAAGATCGTTCCGTCTGCCAACAGGGCCATGGTTGGTGCGTATCTGACGTATTTTCAAATGTGCATCAACGTTTTTACAATCCCGAACCATCCTCATCAGGTCTCGTAGCCGGTGGTGGTCGTATAGACAAGCCCATGCTAAAGGCTGGCCGTGCTTACCACAAATACAAGGCAAAGAGGAATTGCTGGCCGAAGGTCCGTGGTGTGGCCATGAACCCTGTTGAACATCCTCACGGAGGTGGTAACCATCAACACATTGGTAAAGCGTCTACTGTTTCCCGAAGCAAGAGTGCTGGTCGCAAGGTTAGTATGATGAATTATCTTATCCCCAGCGATCCGCTTGTTCACGGCGTGTTCAGAATCATTGTTGACGAGTCTTACAGGAGTGATGACGCCGAAGTATTCTGACTTAAGCTTTTTTCCACCGAGGATGGTCACAATTTTATATATTCAATAAGTCTTTTATGACGACGTGACAAAATAAAATTTCGCTGTCGTGCTTGACGAAAATATGAGAGAAAGCTTAAATTTTCTTCTACGTCGTAAATGAATTCGGAGGAGTAAGCAAGAACGGGCCTGTAATTTATTACGAGAAATCCTGTAAAATGACGGAAATTTTAAGGGAAATTGAAGATATTTTCGTCGGAAAATATTGTCCTAGCTATTCTCGAAATTGTTGAACCTTCCCTCGTATCTTGGACTTTTTTCTGTATGTTAGAGGGATTCAGTTTCAATTTTTTCGTTCGTCACGACGGTGTATAAAATATGGTATCAACTCTGTAATACGTAGCATCATCAGCAGAATCGGTATAACTGAACCGGGTCAAAGCTAAGATAAACTTTCTGGTCGTTCTTTTCATGAGAATATAAAATGAAATAGGCTCTTGCAAGCATTTTTTGTTCGTTATGGAATTCCGACCTGAGAAATTGTAAAATGGTTTTATGTCATTGGTGTCTTGTGGTATGCAGTTTTTTTTTGAAAAATATCGATGATGTTCGTCTTATGGAACCAAATTGTGTTCAGACGTAGCATCTTGCCGATTTTTTTTCTACGCTGTGAACGGGCGGGTTGTGTGGCCTCGATTGTCGAAATGATGTTTATGACATTTGAAACCTGAATCCACGCATGTGGACACCTTAACTGCTGATAATGATCTCGTCGAAGTTATTAGCTCATCGAATGAAACGGCCATTTAAAGGACGATAATCTTTCCAGGTCGGTCTCATCGCTGCTCGACGAACTGGACGAATCCGTGGTGGCAAGAAAGTTGTCAAGGGCGAAGATTAATTGTTCCCTCACCGGCATGCGCGAAATTTCCAGCTCGCGCATTGAAAATACCTTTCTTGTTCGGGGAGTCAAAAAAGAACATTTGTCCGGAATGTCTTCAACGCGTTTTATTACCGTACACAACCAAATTCCTGTACTCGAAACCTTTCTAGTTCCTTTCGGCGATGAGAATTCTGTGAAAAAGTTTTACTGAACGGCTTAGCCCATGAGTTTGAGAGGAGAGTGGACGAATGCAAGCGAGCGAATCCGCCCCATCTGTTCCAAAAGCGGCTACGAGGAGAACTGTTGGTGAGATGCGTGATCTGAAATTTTCAGAATGTTTTGTCGAATACATTCAGTCGAGTAATTAATGCATGTGATGGGAATGCTTGAACGTGTAGTATTCGCTCGGTCGAAAGTTCAGTGGATACCGAAACCGGATTTCTCTTCGGAAGCCATTGCGAAAGGCTTGATTTACCTGAGCAGTGAAGACGAGGCTGTTTTCTCACTCCTTGATGACAAGCAGGGATACGAAGGTATGCCTCTTAGCTATGAGAACGTTATTTACGAGGTATTATTCACGGTGGATCAGAGAAAAAGTCGAGAAATTTTAGATTATCTTGATTGTTGGATCCATAGAATATGCGGATAAAATTCAAATGCATTTCTTTTCATGACTTCAGTCATCGATTTATGCCTTTACGACATTGAACTTCGACCGTTTGAAGGAAAGCTTTGTGTGAAAGGAAGTGCCAAGTAATTCAGTTTATTTACTGTACTTGTTTTGCAGATTTCGAATTCCTGTTTTCATTATCGAAAAAATATCCCAAAACTTCAGAACATCGTGGGCTTTTTCACAACTTTTTCTTACCACAGTGTCACAGTTACTGCAGGAATAGAGGCTGTGTCAAACTGCGACAACCCTGAAATATGGTAGACATTTTTGGATGACCAACTTTCTGTGGAAAATAAATGTATTGTTCAAGCATGAACGCAATTGGGAGTATTCGGTAGTTCTTTTCATCCAATTGCACAAGGTAGCAAGTTTTTCCCATGATGGACTTGAATTTTCTTTACGCATTTTCGGAAAAAAATCTGTATTTTTGGTATTCTGGAGATAATTCAATGTTTTTCGATCCCTAGGACTGGTAGAAGTGTGTTTTAATGAGATTTCACAAGTAAATGAAACCTGTGACCGGAAAGACTGGGGGACGCACTTAGCTTTTTTTTTTCCACTGTAAAGGAGCGGTGAGAAATCATTTGATTTTTTCTCATTCACTCTATATTCTGCTGCCTGTATTTGAATTTTTGAAAGAAAAAAAAAAGATCGAAATTGGATTTCTACTCCTGAAATTTAATCATGTGCGATTCCTTGAAGAAATCGATCGATTGACCCTCAAGAACACTTACGATATCCGGAACAAGGATGGACGACGAATATTTCTGGCAGTCGTGTATGAAAAGCCAGGTCTAGTATTTCGAAGACAATGGGCCTTCCGACTATCCTTTTATGATGCCGAATCTCGCCGGATCTCCATTTTCAATCGCGTGTCCACTCTTCACTGCTGCTCGTGCATCGAGTCCTGTAGAACTCACGTCAGTTGTTTTTCTTCTGCTGAAAGCCTTTTAAATGGGATTCAGAAGAGTTCATGCTACGTATGTTTAAATATGAAAAATGCAGGTGATGCGGGGGAAAATGGGGAAACCCGTGGGTCCAGCTGGCAGTATAGTAAGTCGATGTCACTGGCTGAGAAAGCCCAGTTTTATGGTGCTTGATGACAAGAATAATCTCTTGTATCGACTAGAGCCTCTGTCAAAGATGGACAAAAGCAAATTCTTGGTGAGCTGTTTTCTTTTCTGTAGATTATTGATGGAAAATTTCTGACTTGATTTGGATCACCAATTTTGTAAATACTGTAACCCGATTCGGCACACAACTACGTGAGCCACAATTCGTTGAACCGCTCTTTAATGAAAATACTTGAAACGTGTCTCTTTACTTGTCAAGTATTCTATTACAATTGCCGGCCAGACTTCGCTAATCGAAATTGAAGGAAACCTTTTGTCTTGTGCGAAGATTGACTAGGTAATGAATTGTAAAACCGTTATACAGTACTGTACTGTACATGTTCACGATCGAGAAATTGAAATATTCGATGCCACTGGGACGTTTTTGAATTTGTTTAAATGTGAGTTTGGCAGGTGAACTACATTTTCACGGGGAAGAGCTCTTACGTCTTTCTGCATTCTTCATTGTATTAACAAGAGAAGATTCATAGTAGATAGAATAAAAGTCGTACGCGATTCAAGTCGATGATCGACATCTTCAGATTAACCGTAAACAGTATATTTTTTATTATCCAAGCATTAAAAAAGGATTTTAAAATTTCAAAATTCCGTGCGGTTGAAAGATTTTGGACAAAAAGCGCAAGAAGACCGGAGGTGAGGTCAGAATCGTTACTCGAGAAGACTACTCATGGATGAGCTTTGATACGAACGCATTCAAAATCAGTTTCCCTGCGGATGCGAAACTGCATGTCAAAATGCTGCTCTTGGCTGCCACAGTTCTTCTGGTGAATCTTGATCGATTTAATTTTACTGATGAATAAAAGTACACTGATTCCTTTCGTTAGTAATGCAGTCATACGAAGCTGTCTTGATCCTAACAGCCCCGGAAAATAAAAGTGTAGCGAAGACTCGTTTACGGGCATTTTAAACTTGAATTTTATGTAAAGGAAAAGTTATTCAAAAGCAATCCGGAAGTTCACTGGCGTATTCAAAACGCCAATTGAGTACAAGGCAGACCCCGCGATTTTTGTGCCAGTTTCCGTTACAATAATCTTAAATTTTATAAGAGAAGTTTGATACCGGAGTTGACGATTTTTCGAATTTTTCTGACGAGAGCGAAATGATTCGTCTGGAATGATTCGTCTGTGGTTGTAAAACCTTCGATGTGTCAAACGCAGAACGTTTTGTACTGGGACGCGGAAGACAAAGGTCCACCCCCGGAGTTTCAGCCAACTGAGTCCGAAGAAGAACTCGCAGAATTGCTGCACGAGGAAATGGAGGCCGCAGAAGCTCTAACTGGCGAAGTTTCCTTGCTGGAACGAGACAAGAATCTCAAGTCTACCGCGAAGCAGAAACATCGTCCGGGTTCCCCGGCCACAGTCAAGGCTGCTTATAGTCCTTCCGCGTTTGCTAACCGCGACAGTTTCTTGTCACGGATGCACATCAACGTGAATGATGGGGGTGAGGACGACGAAGTAGTGGCTCCTGGTGGAATGATCACTGATCGCGGGAAAATATACGAGAGTGCTTTGTGATGATTTGAATTCTTCGTCGTGCGAATGAGATTTTGAATATTCCTTTGTTTCTCTGATACGTGATGGAGAGACGACCGATTTTTTTCCATGCAAATACTTGTGTTGTGATTGTCGGAAGTTCTTGTCGTGGATGCGCTGTATTTTGAGCAATGGTGATGAGGTTCAAGTGGCACCGGGGGGAAGTTCGCTGAGATTGCTTTGTGATTTGATTTACATCATCCTGCGTATTTCTTTTTTTTTGAATCTTCTGTGATTCGTGATCGATTTTTGCCGTGAAGATATCTGTGAGGGATTATAGGAAAATCGTGTCGCGCATGCACAAAACTTAGATCTCCATCGCTCAAATTAACGAAGTGTTCTCTGAATGAGTCATCGCTGATCTTGGGGATTATGGGGGGATTTCGCTGAAGATGTGCTTTGTGATCTCGGATACGTGACTGAGAGACCGATTTTTAAAAATCAAAATTGCTTGCTGGAGATTTTCTTTCAGCATATTCGCGGATCTATCCTAGATTTGATGATCAATAAGGGCCTGGACAAATTCGCAGGGAGTTCTTTGTGATTTTATTTCTTGAACCTATGCAAATGTACACATAGAATTTCTGAGATTCATGATCAAGTGAACGCCTACTTTTCTATGAAATTGTCTACTACCGATTGTAAAAGTTATTGCCGCGAATTTGTGATGCTAATGAAATCGCTTCTGGAGTTATTACTGATACCCAGGAAATTCGCTGAGAATTTTACGTTATCTGATTTTTTTTTCGAATGCTCGAATTTTCAAGGAGTTATTGAAAAGTTTTTCAATATCTCATATCTTGAGAAGATAAATCTCTATTTTCCCTACAATGAATCAAGTGGCAAATTAAATTTAAATTATTCCTTTTTTTCAATGTCCTATTGTTAGTCCCCGTTCAGAAATTCGTTCAAATTAAAAAAATGGATTGGCACGGTATTTTATTTTGATGAAGTCTTACAATAATCGGTTTTACCAACGTACAGATCAGGTATTTTTCAAGAGTTTAATACAGCACTTAAAATTCATTAAAAATTGTGCAAAACTTCATTTTCCGACGAGTTATTTTTTAGTTGTGTCAACCATCAACGTTTTACACTTGCGTCAATTTCTCGCCGCCGTAAGAGTTCTGCCTTCGAAGAGGTCATACGATTCAAGGATACCTCGGATTTCCGCGAATGAAAACCGATATTTTTTTAGTGCCCGCTAACGACACCGGGTTTTTATTGCTCTGCCACGGCCTTTTATGCGATCAGAAACCCAAGAAACTTAACAGGCAATAGAAAGCTGTGGAAAAAGGCAAAGAAAGCTAAGAAGTCTCGCGTAGCTCGTGACAAGGTCCGGGGAAAGAAAATATGTCTAAAGCATTGCATATCGGAAAAAACATTCCGAAACAAAAAGATGCGTCGCAATGGGGAGATGGGGAGAGTGAACTTGAAGGGGGAATAATAAATCATCGATGCTTTTTTGTTTCTTTCTCCGTCATCCTCAGGCATCCTTGTTGTCATCAGCCTTCTCTTCGGGCTCATCCTCCAAGACCTCAAACTCTTCGTCATCGTCATTCGGCCCGCCTCTCAATCGCAACACAAGATGAAGCGTTGACTCGGTTTGAATATTATAGTCTTCCAAGGTTCGTCCATCTTCCAGCTGCTTGCCAGCGAAGATGAGTCGCTGTTGGTCCGGAGGAATACCTTCCTTCTCGTAAACGGCACCCTTAACGGCTTCGATAGAGTCACCGGGATCCACGTCGAGCGTGATGGTTTTCCCAGTCAGGGTCTTGATGAAGATCTGCATGGATCCTTCGCCGATGAGTGGTGGGATCTCGATGGGTGCCCCTGGGGCTCCGGGGGGCCCACCTGCTCCTGGATCCGCCATGGTCACCGAAAAAAGTGGTGTTGGGGAGGATAAAAAGAAAACGACACACACAAAGAAGCAGTCACGAACGAGAAATGAGGAGGATAAGGCTAAAATATCTTTGGATGGAGTAAATCCAGCAGCGGACAAGAAGGAATTCACCGTGTATGGGACCTTCTTCGCATTTTCTTGCTGTGATCGTCCACCTTCCTAGTGTTCAACTCTGCGTCCTTGCAAGTTTTTTGTATTTTTTATTTTAATTTTGTTCGCGAATTTGAATTTTTTTAGAGATTGCAAACTTGTGTTTGCATTTCTTATTTATTTTTATTATTTTTAATCTCCGATTTTTTCAGTTGAACATTTTAGTGTTGACAGTCGTTTCAACTTCGCGTGTTAAGTCTTTCAAGGACGAATTGAAATATTGTACTGTATTGCGATCGTTCATGTTAGGAAAAAAAGCGTTCGCAAATTCCAGTGTGACGAAGTGTTTTCAACTTTGCTGAATGCATCGTGTTCGTTGAACTTTTGCGAAAGGAGAACCTTTTTTCCATTTTTGGCAACACTTAGAACGGTACTATGATTCGAATAACCCGATCGCATAAATATACGTATAACACCACGCACCTGAATTTGCCACGCGAAGTTGAAAAAAGCGTTTGGCACTTTTTCGTTGAAATCTTGAAAACACGTAACTGCTTCGTTGCATTTTTGTTGTGGAAAGAATCTCTGATTTTTACATTTTAGTGGTGATAGTCGCATGTCAATTTTGCGTGGTATGTCTTTCAATGGCGAATCGGAACATTGTATTGCGAATCTTTTAACTTCGTTAATTTTCTAGGAAAAAAACATTTCCAGATTTTATTCCGATGAAGTGTTTTCAACTTTGCATCAAGCGAAATATTTTTGAAGTGGCAAATTTATATGGTGTTGAAAAAAAATCGTGCGGTCTGTTGTATCTGTTCCTAGAAATGGAAAAAAGGTTCTCTATCTTAGTAAAAATTCAACCGGAATGTATTTTCAGCTATGCCGAATCAGCAATCAATTTATACTGTAATAAACATTTTCTTTTTACAGTGAGAGAATTCATGAATAATCATCGCTGCTTTCCGCGGGACAGATACTATGAGAATTGAATTTCTGTGAAGTTGATGTTCCTGTTCTCAAACTTCTGGAATTTTCTAAAACAATCGCTTGAAAGGAAAATATATTTTTTGTTTTTATAGCGAGATTCGCCGGAAAATCACGCATGTACATTTATCACTGTACTATAAAAGATCTGCTGTTCGCAATATTCACCACATTCAACGTGCACTTCGTAGAAATGAATAGAAATCAGTTTCGAACGTGTCTCTATATACTGTATATTCATACTTGAGAGAAAGCCTCTTATTTTTTTTTCAAGGTTTGGGTTGGACGGAAAAGGAGATTTTCATCTCAATTTTTTGTTCTGCCGAAGTATTGCATATATTTCGTGTGAAGTGTTTCGTAGATAATCCCGATTTTTAGAGTAATTTGACCTTCGGGATATTCTAATGTTTTTTTTTCAATGTTCACTCATCAAAGGGCACACAAGTGATTTCCTATTCAACTGCTCTTTTCCTTCTGTTCCTTTCTAGAAGGATTTCTCCGATGAAGGCTCCACCTGACAAAAAATACCCGATCACGATTAGCAAGAAAGCGGAGGAAAGATTTTTCGTCGAAATAGGTGATGCTGATTGCGTTCCATCTTTTTGGTTGTTTTCGCTGTCCGCTGAGTATGACGACGTTTCAAAATTGACAATCCCATAACCAAGGTCATTATTGTTTCTTTCTTTAGAGGCTCTCCGAGTTCTTCCAGCTTCATTATCGACCTCATCTTGCAAAAGCTTTTCGGCCAATCCAGCAGACTGGATCCTCGCCAGAGCACGTTTGAAGTGTTGCACATAAAATGCGTGACTGTTTATTTTTTTTGGATGAAAAAGAGACATTCCTTTCTTGTTGATGAATTTTTAGGATGAGATTAATTGACGAATTTACCGTGGCATGAACCAGGCAACGTGACCTGGTATGAAGCAGCCGCTCATCAAGTGCAAAGGAGGTTTCGGGCCGACGAAAAGCTGTGCGATTGTGAATTTTGTGGACCATCTTGCCTCTGAAAATGCCATGGTTCCAGCGGCCACCTTTTTGAAACCGTCTACTGTGTTCTTCGGATTTTGAATTCGTTGTCCGAGTTTTCTGTAACTCTCCTTCAAGAATTGGAAAAGAGGTTCGTTAAATATTTTTTTTTCATTGAAAAATGGGATCATTTCTCATTCATAAAAAAGAGAGGCTTATTTTGCTTTTTGGCTGTCGAAAAATAAGAGTACTTACTGTGTATATGGACAATTTGAGATAGGGACGATTTCAGACAGCAAAAATCCGCGAATTCATGCAGGGAAATTTTGAGAAAGTGTTGACGACAGGTACATTTGATTTTTTTTTTATCGGAAAGCGACTTTTGTGGTGATGTCTCGGATTTGCGGGCAGAAATACATCTTATGAAGTCATTCTATCACCTTTTTTTTGTAATAAATAGCTCAGCATTCCATTGAAAATCTTCGCTTGCTGAAGAGCTGCGCTAATTCCAGAAAATGAACACATATGAAAAAGCTGCATCTATGAACTTTTTCCTCTGAATATTTTTTATGTGGTAGAATTTGCCTTTTGGGTATGAAAAAAATGCAGATAAGTAAAACAAGCACACAGTTTTCAATATTGTACACTGTTTTACACTTGGAAAAATCAATTATTTTAAAGTTGTGATAAGACTTTAAACTGTAGCTCAATTTTTCCAGGAAGCATCAACATTTTGAAACCTACACTTCTTAAACCTTTGGGAAGTACAGTATATATATAGTTTGAGACATGGTGCAGATTTTCGAGTTTTCCAAGTACGTGTCCATAAGTCAAATTTTATGCATCTTGGGGCCCCATCACAGTATGGTTATTTTGAATTTTGTGAAAGTCAGAGCCCATCCTTCTCATTAGAGTTTTTGATGCATCATAGATGACCGTTTGACAAGATCTGCCAGAAAAAAAACTTTTCTCCAGCTTGAGAGGTTGGAAAACTGATCACATAATTGCCATCTTATATATATATGAGTAGACAGCAGTGAATTGATCTCTTATCTCTCTGTACTCTTTTACCTGAGAATGGGAGACAAACCACTTGTCATAGTAGGTATCTCCATATTCAAGAAGCCCAAAA